GCATCCACTGGCTCAAGATTGGCTTCAGTGAGAGGGATTGTTTCCTCATTGGTTTCATCTGTTTCTCCATCTGAAACGTTCTCTGATATCACCTCTTTTTCAAGTGATAGAACACTGCCCTCCGCTGAATCTAATGTTGGTGCTTGAACATCCTTTAATACTTCTGGTTCTTGAACAGTTTTTATAGCATTCACTGGTAGTTCTTTGTTTTCTGGCTCAACACTGACGTCAGTGAGAACCTCTACTGACTGTTTGGGTTCATCTGTAACTGTTTCTGCTGTTGCAATGTCTTCTGATTTTACTTCCTCTTTTGGTGATTGAATGCTGCCTTCCTCTGAATCTAATGTGGAGGCTTGCTCAGCATCTGATGCATCTGGTACTTGAACGTGTTCAGGTTTGGCAGCATCTGTTTCTAGTCCATCTTCATTTTCTGGCTCAACACTCACTTCAGTTAGCGGCACCTCCTTGAGTTCAAATGTAACTGTTTCGCCTGCTGGTATGCCCTCTGATATTATGTCCTTTTCAAGTGATGGAACACTCTTTTCTAAACCCAATGTGAGAGCTTGTACATCTGCTAATTCTTGCAAACGATCCACCTCTACTGGTTGTTGATCGTCATCCTCAGATCCGACCTCCTGCTCCATTGCCCCATTCTTAGTTTCATCTGCCACTGTTGCATGCAAGTCTACTTCTTGAGAGTCTAGTTTTGGGGGCTCTGTTTCAGTTTGATGTGCCTCAACTAGAGAACCTTTGTCTTGGGCAATTTCCTCCCCTTCAGCTAATTTATTTGTAGATCCAGTCGCATTAACCTCTGATAGGCATTCCACCAGATAACAGCTCTCATCAATACTTTCTAATTCGGTTATGCTGTCTTCTGGATGTCTAACATCAGCCTTTTGTACTTCATCTTCAGCGATTTCAGCCGTGTCAAACTCCTCTGTAGGAACTTCAGATAAAATCTCTGTGGAAACAGAGTCATTGACTTCAAATATGTTTTCTATTTGGATGGTGGCTGCAAGTTCATTATTTGCGTCCAGTTCTTTAACCTTTAGGCCTGTGTTAATTTTAGTAGCATCTGACCTTCCGTGTAATTCCAGAATTGTTGGCTCGTCCTTTTCAAATGTTTCCAGTATTTCATGTGAGACAGAAAATACTGTTCTTTCAGAACTTAACTCGTATGAACAGACTGGAACTGCCTCTGGACTTATGGAGATGGTTTCAACAACCTGGTACAGAAGTGCATCCGTTTCCATAACAACATATTCAGCTGGAACCGGTGTTGTGTTGCCAGACGTTTTTGAAGACTCTAAAGATAACTGGGACACTGCAGAGATCATCTCAGTTTCATCTGACAGGGTAATATCTAAATGTTCTGGTGCAGTAATGGCCTCAGATGTGATCTCTATCAGGTCCTCTGCTATGGTGTCATCTCTAGCTGCCTCCTCTGTGACTGAAGCTGGAGTGGCCTCTTCTGGAATGTCACTGAGTTGTTGTTGTTGACTGATTGATTCTGTAAGATCATCAGGTTTTTCATCCGTAGCAGGGGTTGTAGTTGCCTGATTCTCTAAAGCATCATTATTGCCTTGGACTTTCTTTGCTTCAGTTTGCAGATTGTCACTAGGTAGGACTGGTTCAGCCATTGGATCAAGGAGGTCCTGCTGGAGTTCAAAGTCTGCTTCTTTGGGTATATGACTTTCTACGTCTGCCTGTGTTTGTATGTGAACTTCTGTCTCAACTGTATCAAACTCAGACAGTGGAACCACAGCTGGTGTGTCAGAGTCTTCGTCGCCCGAAGCTGCTTCCCTATCAGCCTCATCTGAAGATACTTGGTCCTGCTTTTCGGCAGACTTCCTCTTTTTTAGTCCTGGAAGGAGTTTCTTTATTGAAAACGAGGACTCATCTTGACTTACTTCACTATCAGATTGTACATTGTCTTTGCTTTCTTCGTCATCCTTGGCTTTCCTTTTAGGGGTGACAAGTCTTTTCAGTGATTGCCATGTTGACACTCCATCGCCCTCTGAAGGGCTTCCTGCTTGTTTGGGTGAATATGCTAACATTTCATCAACCTCATTTCCTAGGGCTGATTCTGCACTATGTTTAGATCCACCGTCTTGCTTGTTCATATCGTTATCAATTTGAGGTGTTTCATCCTCAGAGTCTGACATTTTTCGGATTCTTCTCCTTCCTGATCTACACAAAACAGATTCCCATGAAACAGATGAGTCTTTTCGTTTTTTGCCTTCTTCTGTGCTGTGATCTGATATTTGCCCTCCTTCGCTTGGTTTTGGTTCTCCTACTGAACCTGGGATTTGTGTCTCTTCACTACTTAAGGAGGATTTTTTCATGCGCTTTTTCGGAGTCACAAGTTTTTTGAAGGAAGCCCATGCACCATCCTCCTCCCCTGCTGTCTCTGTAGGGGGTTGTGCACAGCCTTCTTCTTTCTGATTCTCAGCTTTCTCAGTAGATGATAGGAGCTGATCTGAAACATGTTCTCCAGAGTCTGACAACTTTGCATCACTTGATTTCCGGCTTCTTTGCTTTTTGGATAGTTTCTTTAAACTAGATCCTGACAACAGCCTTCTCAGAGGACTTGCTTGAACTTTGTCCTTCTCTTGAGAACTCAGAACTTCAGGCTCAGTGACAATAATCGTTGATGGGTATGCATCCATCATCTGAGCTGCAGACCAGATATCCCCTTTTAGTTTATTTTTCTCATGTTCTGTCTCAACTGTAGCTGCCTCAACACCTAGACTAATGTCCTCTTTATCCTGATGTTGGTCTTGTGCAGTTTGTTCTGGCTTCTCTACGACTTCCTTTTTGTTTATATTGTCAGTGGTCTCATCTTCTGCAGGTTTCTTTTTCTTCCGTAGTCCAGAAAAGATTCCAGTCGCAAAAAATCTTTTAATTGGAGATACGACAACTTCTTCTTCAGGACTAGATGGCGATGTGGAACGTGGCTCTTCTTCAGTTGTGGTCTCCTGGTTTACATCTTCTCCAAGAGGTGAAGCCATCGCTGCATCTGCATAATCAGATTCAACCTCTACTTTGGTTTCTGTTGCCTTCTCCTCTAGATTTTCAAGAACATCATCCGATGTAACGTCTGTCAGGGTTGGACATGTTGTTGAATCATTATCGTATGTCTCCTGTGCTATGTTCACATCGGTATTCTGTTCAGCATTCTCACTTGTGGTTTCCTTTGTGGTATCTTCAATGTCTTCTGGTGTGTTTGCTTCTTCTTTGTTAGTATCATTGGTCACATCTGTTGGGATTTCACCTGAGGCCCTCTTTACTGTCAGTTTCAAACCAATGTTACTGAAAAATCTCTTAAAACTTTCATTGATGTCATTCTGCTTTGCATTCATGTCAGTCATTTCTAGGGGTATGTCTTCATTAGCATCAGCTTCATTAGGTGATTCCTTTTCATTTATTTCAACATCTTCTAATGGTGTTTCTTCTTTAAATGACGTTTCTGTTTGTGAAACATCTTCGTCTGGTGAAAGGACAGCTAAACCAGGAAATAAATGAATTATTAAATACTTGGATTGCAAGAACTGTAAAAGAATGATGACGAAGATGAAATCCAACAAGTTATGCGTCTGTTGAAATTATGCTGACATTGCCCTTCAATAAGCAGTAATAGTGTTAGAGCACCTACCCTCTGCAGCGAGCTCATCCTCACAGTGACCATTGACTTCTGCTGTAGAGCTGCCTGCTTTTCCATTGAGCTCAGAGATCTGCCCTTTGTTTTTGAGAGGCTGAAACGAAACATAAAACTTAGAACGTACAATATACCCTTGCTCTTGTATGTAAACCAGACAATCAAACAATTTCCTGTCTTTTAGAAGTCCATTTCAAACATTTCCTTGTTTTGTAATAGTCATTTCAAAATCACTGGTTTCAGTTAAAACAAAGCAAGAGAATAAAACTGTCCATTAGACTTTGTACTTATATGAAACAAACAATTTCAATCTTTGATTAACTGGTTCCAAAGCCCTATTTAACACAGTCCAGTCCGTGTTGTGTTGATGTGACGGTAGTCTTACAGTTAAACAACCCTAATTGTCCAAATCTCAAATCCTTGAGCCAGATTAGCGGGTAAAGTCTGAGCAGGGGAAAGGGAACAAGAAATGTGTTCTTTGCCTTGAGAAACACAATAATTAAGCAACTATACAAATAGCTGTACGGTCCTATGGCACCTGCTAATTCCTGCTATGCCTTTGTTGGACATTAATACACTAGATTCATTTCCAATGTGGTTTTTTTACACGTTTTGTCACATCATGATACACACAGAAAAGTGATGAACACTCTTTGTGTGTAATATTTTTGATGAATCAGCTATAGGTCTTTTGGTGGCATACAGCGGCCTTTGAAGCCACCATTCCCTTTTTCAAACGTGATAAACATTTTTAAACATTATAATGTAGCCGAAGTAAAATGTTCTGGGTGAACCAAAAACCAGCTTATACTCTCCTATAAGTGTAGCGATAACGGTATACACTCAATTGAAATGGCACGTAATATGATTATGGATGGCTGTGAGCTGGTTTCCCAGTCTCGCCCATATTAGGGGCTGTGAACAGGCAGCGCTTTGTTTTCAGTCAGCCATGAAGCAGAATGATTAATTGCCTCTGAGTGGACTTTACTTCAAGAATAAAGTATTTATTCGGAAAAGAAAAAATCTGATAATAGTTCTTAATTAACCTAAAGACATGGCATTGGTAAAATAATGTTGCTTTTAAAAAAAAAAAAAAAAAAAGTTTATACTTATTCTTAAAAACTACAGTTATTCGACTTTATTCAAGATGAAATGATCACTTGTGACAGAGGCATACGTTAGCCACTTATTCCATCCAAACATGTAATCACCCAAGTCACAAAGGTTAAAGCATGCCATTAAATCAACACAAACTTATGATTATAGCTCATAAGACATTAATAACTATTTTCATGCACACATACAGTGCTGTCTAATTAACTTCCTGCTCTCCACGACCAAGGGATGATGTAGTACACAATAATCAATGTTGTTTTCTGCTGAGTGCAGCAAAGGGGAAATTCCATCTCTCTCCTGGGCTTTACTCAGGTTCCGAATGAAAGGTCATTATTCCTCCACATTGTTTCCTTTCATCTAAATGCAAGCCTTTGCTGAATCAATGAAACAGTGAAAGCAGGGGTTTCAGAATCCACTAATGGCTCCTATAGAGTCTCAAACTACCAAAGCAATGGGACAGATCCCGAGCTCTGACAAAAACAGACAAGGAGGACACTCAACAACTTAACCAGGAAGAAAGTGGTGGTAATGACTCCATTCTGCACCATGAATAAAGTGAGCTTGATGTGTTCGATGACATTCATTAAAATGGGACAAGGGCTTTTTTTTCTTCTTCTTGAGGTTAATGAATGTGTTGGCAAGCAGCCCCTGCACTGTCCTTCCTGACAACAATAAATTCCAGCCTCAGCGTTTTTATGTAACATGACGAGGCTTTCTTTATACCACAAAATGTGCTGCTACTGAAAATGCATCGATGAGGATAAAAAAATAAATCATTATAGATAAGTTTAAAGTCTGTAGAGGTGGCATTAGTTAGCTGCACTATGTCAACAATCTGGATCTGTCTGAAATAAGATGATACCTTGTCTTCGATATTCTGCTCAGTCTGAGCATCATCCACCTTTCCGCTCTCCTCCTCATCCGCTGCATCCTTCTCGCCCTCCCGTTGCGCAGACTGAGCGTCTCCCATTATCGGAACTGCAGCGCGTCACTGTCCGGAACGAGCCGCACAAGTGATGGAAATATCCCAAAATGCGCACCGGAAAAAGAAATTTGCAATCCGGTGGCTCCACGAGATACGGTCAGCTCTCAAATGCAAGCTGGATGTTGAAAAAGTATTTTATAACCAAACGCCTCCCTGCCGGATCACATGAAGCCTATGGGGCCGAGCCTGGTCCGGCCCGGCCCGGCCTGGCACGCCTCCCGCTGCATCAAAAAAGGAAGAGGGAAAAAAAAAAAAACCTGCAGAGAAAACACATCGCGTCCTCAGATGACTGAAGCGGATGTCCGAGCAACAAGCGCGGACCTGCACCGCTAAACACGTCCACCTCAGAGAGCAGATATGCATGAAGTTAGAGTCCTGTGAAATATGAAGTATGTCAAAGGTCTATAAAGATATCTTCTTTGGAAGTGAACAGCCGCATCAGAGGTTGACGCAAACAGACTTTAAAAGACAGGCTCCACTGCAAAACCCTCTGTGTAGCAGTTTCTCATTTTTATTTTTGACCATTTGTTATTAAAAAAAGACTGATTTTCATACGTAACATGAACTGCACTGTTGCCTGACTGGGAACAATTGCATCCCCCATTTTCAGTTTATGTGATTAAAAGTCACAAACAAACTGCATACTGAAGTAATGTGAAATAGAACATCTTGATTATTAATAAAGTTACCATCTCATTCTCATTTTGTTTCTTTCATGCACATAATTCATATTTTTCATCAGTATCTAAAACCTTTCAGGTCAATGTGCAACTTTTAGGGGAAGTTGGAACTTATAGTCCAAAAGGTGAGCAAGCAATTTTCTTAATTGAGGACTGACATGTCAGCTCATAACAGGGAAGATTGGTTGCTTATGATGCAGATGGATCTTGATCCATCAGTCCTCACCTCTTACATTAATGTGTTTATTATGTTACTGGGACATCCGTTGTCTTCACTAAGGTTGTATTTTATTCAGCAGTTGTGTTTGAGCTGTTTATAAAGGGTGCATTATCAGAAAGCAGTGCCAAAAATGTTTATATATCAAATCTGTGAACTGTTCTTTAATGTTTCTAAATAAACCAGTTCTTGTATTTTGACAATGAAAACCTTATACAGTATAATATTTGAACTGTAATGTTCTGTAGTATTGACAACAGGACTCTTTGCATATTAAAAAAAAAGAAGTTTTTTACAGGTCATTTTAGGACACACAAGTTGGGAAATATTGAAAGTTGAAGATAATTTGTTTTCCCAAAGAACGATTGTTTGATACATGAGACATCAGGCGGCATCGTGTGTGTGATGCTTCTGCTGTTAGTCATGCTGAAATGATTTTTCAGGCTTCTCAAACAACTCTCTTGGCATCACATGCGGTTGTTCAGTGGTTCTTGAATAGTCCCCTGATTCCAATATTTATAAACATGTACTTTTATGAGTTGGAATATTTATTGTTAAATTCGATATCGAAATGTCAGGCTTATTATAGACCTTTATTCTTTCAGTGTCGAAAAGTGATTGAATTGAGACACAATGTATTATAGAATCAACTTGTTCATTTTGTAAATAGAGATGGTTGACAATGTAAAGCAATAGTGAAGAGAGGCTGTACACGTCAGTGCATTTCTTCATAGGTTTTCAGTGGTGTTGAGATGTGACTATAAAGGCTGCAGCATATTAATCACTAACTCATCGTCATGTTTTTCTTTTCATTTGTCACCCTGAGTATTTGTTCCTTTGAGTGCCCCAATTTCATTTCGTCAAACATAATTTGGTTGCAGAGAAAAATAAGTTCATAAACCATTTAAAATCTCTTTCTGGTGTTATTTTGAGTTTTGGTTTCCAGACAGCTTTAGAGCAAAGACAAAGACGCGAAGGCCATAGATAGAGCTGCGCCAACTCACTTCAGGTTTTGCTCAGTTAACTGTCAGAACGGTTAAACGTCACAGTCCTTCTGTGCTGCAGTATACCAGCAGTGGCTTCTTTGACAGGTTAACCTGAAAACACCACGTGTCGCCTCAGTTGAACAACGCGAGAGCTTCAGAAGTATCAGAGGAGAAAACATCCCTGAACTCATGACAGACATTCATGTTAATTGGGTCAGGTGCTCTGAGACACTGCATGCTTTCATGTGAATCTCAGTCTGAAGCCAATAAGTTGAATCAATTACAGTCACAACATTGTTTAACTGGAAACAGCTGATGTTTTCTTCACTGATTGCAGTAACCTGACAGCCTAACTCCGGAGGCCTGATGCCATATCATTTTATTTGTGCCGGGTGATTTCAGGATATCAAAGGTATGTGTACGGCTGAAATCCAAACTTGATGAATGAGTCTGTTTTTTTATGCTCAGCTAAAATGTCTTGTGCTGCACTTAAAGTCGGAATAGAAAACGTAAACGTCAGCAGAGTTTTGATCTTGTAGTTTTAGTTTTCTTTCTATGTTTTTGCAGTTGTTTGTGTTTGAGAACAAAATCAATTTGTTTCAACGGAAACAAAACCAAGAAAGTCTTACAAATGACGTTACGCATGCTGTGTTACAGAGATAATCATCTTAGAACAGACGACAGCTATGAAGACATAAATTACTTTAAATAACTCTCAAAGGGACACCAGCCAGATAGATCGGTTGATACATATTTCCTTTTGTTTACTTAATAATCCACTTCATTTATAATTCCTCCAACAATATGTTTCATTTAGCAGGTTCATAATTGGATCATCAAATGAGTGTGAGGAGATATCACTCTCTGCAGTATAACCTTCAATATGTAATTCAATGTGTTTTTTTTTTTTTTTTTTTGGTGACACACTTGCTAAAGAATATATATTTTCAACTTTTGTCTCCACAGAAGCATCTGCAAAGCAATTACAGCGGCGTAGTTACACGGAGGAGGAATGTCGAAGGCAAAAATAGACTTTAGTCCTTTTGTTTAGCAGATTTACAATCCCTCAGTGACGGAAACATTCACAATGAAGCGTTTTCATTGTTGTACCTCAATGTGGTTCTGAGCCTCTGATATGAGACACAAGTTAGATTTCCCCTCATGACTTGTTCAGTTCCAATTCTGAAACGCACGCAGCTCCGTTTGATGATAAATAGCACGCTGCTCAAATCAGAACCAGCTGACTGAAAATAGTTTAACTTTAAATGTGAACTTGAAGCTGGTAATGTTGTTCAGGCTGTGTTGTCGCTGGAGAGAGAAGTGCTTTAAAGGAAAATCCAAAAAATGTTGAAACTGACTGAAAGTCATGTTCTGTGACTTTCTCTCCTGGTTTAGAACAGAGGTTTGCTTGTTTCTGACATATTTTACATCAACACATATTTAGTTTTAGTTGATCATTGTCTTTGTATTAAACAAAAGGTTCAGAAATATGTAATGAATGGAAGTATCAATTCCACATATTGTTTTTAAACCTTTGATATCTTTTGGTTTTTCAATTCACTTTCTACATGTTGGTTCATACCACGATCATTTGAATTGAACTCGCCTTTAATGGCCTTCAGACCTGTGCTGCTTTGATTTGTTACACAAACGCATGTAAATATTGTGCAAACACCACCAGAGAGTTATTTCTTAACTACCAGCCAGGTCATGAGACATTTCCTCCTGAACAGCCTTGTTTCTCAGACTTTAAGATGAACTCAAAGTTCACTAACTGCATGTCACAGAAAGTACTGTTGTACCACTGACATCTGCTGGACAGAATAAAGACTCAGTTTTAAAGTAGAAGGAGAACAATACAAGCACCGTCTGATTTAGTGGTTTTACCAAAGAACCTTAACTTTGTTCAGTGTTGTGGATTGAGAAGAAAACTACAAAAATATATCTATAAAAGTGGAAAAGTAGTAATCGGATAAACTGAACATGCCAAGTCTTGAGCCGATTCCCACCAGAGGGGGACAAATAAAACAGAAGGACTTTACACTGTGTTTAAAGGGATATTTTAGCCTCATTCATGGAGTCTTTTGTTCCTTTCGGAATCACCTTTCAGACGCTGGTGTTCATCCACAGCTGAGTGATACATCAACACCCTCTCGGAAACAAAGCCACTGTGACTCAAACTCACTGGAGGCCGGTGGAAATGACTAATCACATACAAACCAATGCTTGGCTGTGGAAATGACTTCTCACACAGCTTCCTACACATCAACTGGAAAAATAGATTTTCTTTAAAATACACTTCTTTTTCTGGCTGAATGACTTGTCATCACCTGACAGTTGGTGGTTTCACAGCGGACGAGAACTTCAGTGAGATTACATTTCATGAAACTGAAAGGAAAGGTTGTGCTTCTGCAAGACTTCATCACCTGTTATCACGCATGAACACTTCAGTCACACCTCTTTGGAAGATAACTTATCGGAAATACTTCCTCTCTAGTTTTCTTCTGCTGTCAGTGACTTCTGTTGATCATATCTGCTTTTGTTTGCTTCTTAGAGATCTTGAGCCCAACATTAGTCTCTTTTCACAACACTTTATTGCCTTATTAGTCATTAAAAAAAGCACTTAGGTGACAGATGCCCTGAGAATATCGAAAAATGTAAACACAAAATATATCAGTCATCATCTTTATGATACATATTTAAGAGGCTTGGCTTCACCTTACTGTACGTCACTGCATGTCTCCATGTGACACAACAGGAATGCAGAAAGTTTTGTTTCTGAAAAGATTTCCTCTTAAACAGGTGTAGAAGAGATGATGGTGACATTTTAAAGAAAACTTTCTCTCTTAACAGTCGCCACGCTGAACGGCTTAACTATTGTATATTTTTAATGATCAGCCTGAAGAGACCGCAAACTGCATCTACAGACAACAAACTCCCATAAGAGAAAGGTATGTTACAATTCTCTCATTATAAGTTCACATATTCCATATTTTGATAAGTTAGCATGAGACAGCATTTTTTAATGTTAGAAAATCTGAACTGAAAATACAGTTCAAGCAAGAAAACCTTAAAACGAGGCCTCTTTACACTGACTCTTGTGGAAAAGCGTCAATTAGATGATTGTAAAAATCAACAAACCAGACTTGTGCCACTGGTTCATGACTGCTTTGTGTTAAAATACTGAGTATCTCCACTTACTTAAAAGCAGATTACACACATTTGCTGCTTTAAAACTTGTTTGGTAAGTCCTGAAAAGAGATGAAATGTCCTGGCCGATCACGTGCAGTCATCTAAGATTGCGCGATACCGAAGAAGTAGAAAATGCTCTCAGCTGCTTCACACATTGATGACGAAAGCTTTTGATTGGTATGTGCTCGACTGAGCCCGGGCCTGTTAGACGTCTTCAATCGTGCTCAGGAAACATTCAACACCAGAACAAGTACAAGCTTGCTTGTTATTTTACGTCTGTGTTTTAGTTTGTAAATCTTTTTAGTGCTTTCCTCTCCAATTTAAATGATGACCCTTCACAGTCTTAACTCCCAGCCTCGGAATCACTGCTCTAGTTTACAAACATGACGGAGAGATTCTCGAATCAACATGACTAAATCAAAATCTTTTTCTCTTGTTGTCATTTTTCCTTTCAGCCATGAGAGACAGGCTGAGTCACCTCCATCAGGTGCAGACTGACTCTGAGTGTTTCAGCACAGTGGAGCTGGACCATTTGTCAGAGCATGCGGCCACATCGCATCCTGACCGGGACCTGGACCTGGACGGCATCCTGCAGGAGGCCCTACAGATACATCTGGAGATCCAGCAGATCCAGAGCGACGTCAGCGAGCTGAAAGATGTGAACTGCCGGTCCTTGAACAAGACCTCGTGCCCCCTGGCGTCAAAGCGGGACGCCAATGCAATCGGGGTGGATGTTAAACGCAGGGGAGAGGCTGTGCTGCAGCGGCTGCACATGATGAATGCTCTCAGAGGGGAACTGGAGGCCCAGCGTGGCACCTTTGACCCCGCAGCACGCGTTGCTCAAACACAGTACCAGTGTCTCAGCAACGCTCTGCGGGAGGCGATGTGCAGCTACAACGACACCGAGATGAGCCACAGGGAGGCCTGCAAACGGCAGATCCGGAGGCAGATGGAGGTGATGGACAAGGAGGTCGGCGCGGAAGAGCTGGAGGAGATGATGGAGAGCGGGGAGTTGAACGTGTTCAGCGCCCAGGTGGAAGGCAAAACGGCTCACTCGGCCTTCCTGCAGATCGAGGGCCGACACGAGGAGCTGCTGGAGCTGGAGAAGAGGATCCAGGGGATCCAGGAGCTGTTTCTGGACGTGGCTGTGCTCACAGAGGAGCAGGGGTTAGCCGTCGACAACATCCAGAAAAACGTTCAAAATACCGAAGTGACCGTTCAGGATGCCGCGGTCAAGCTGGACAGAGCGATGACATCTGATAAAAACAACCCTTTCAAGCAGATGTTTTGTTGCTGCTTTCCATGTTTTAACAATTAGGTCCCTCTGGTCTGTGTGGTAAAAGCTGCACTACAAACTAAAGGAACAAGACCTTAAGACATTGCTACAAATGATCTATTCCCCTCAATCTCTATTTGGTAGCTGTTCTGGAGCTTTGGTTATTGTATCATGAGACTAACTGAATAACACTGGCTCCAGCGTGAAGATAGATGCTGGTGAGTTCAGTCACAACGAGCACAGTAGATGGATCTGTTCGACAGTTCAGTGAAAGGTTTAAACACTGATATTGATGGTGTGAAGTTAGACATGTTGTGAGTTACCAACAAACAATAGAATTTACTTAGTTTGTCTCAATTAGCAAATATCAGCAAATAGCTGTATATTCTAGTAGGGAATCTAAAACATCATTCATGAAGCTACATTAGCTCAAAGCCTGTTCTGGAGCTTTGCATCATGTGACAAAGATGTTTTCAACAGCTGTTTCCTAAGTGAAGAATGAATATTACATCTTAAACCAACATGGACATGATGTCCTTAAAGTGCTGGAAAGAAATTGGCCATGACAACTGAGGCTCCATCTGCCGATGAAGGTCATGTGACATCTGATCGAAAGCCAGTGGTGGAATATAAACTCACTCAAATACTTATCTACAAATGTGAGGTTCTTGGACTTGATTTGTGTTTCCTTTCATGCTACTTCATCCTCCACCACAATTCAGAGAGAAATATTTAGCATTTGTACTCCAGCATAACTATTTGATAACTTGTGTTACTTTGTAATTCAAGATTTTACCTACAAAACATGATAAACTGATAAAATGTGGTGCATCGTTAAATATTAAATATAAAGTGAATGCATCCGTAGCTATAATATATAATAACACAATATATAACACTTGCAAGGGTAATGATTCAGCATTATGTGTACTTTTTAAAGATGATACATACTTAATATTGTATAAAAATGTCTGTATTTTCTCAGTCTGGTACTTTTACTTCCAGCTATGGAACTTGTGGTGAGACTATTTTGCCCACTGCTGTTTTCTGCTGTAATATCAGAATAATAAGGTCTACTTCCGTTTCTCCTTATTCATCATGACAATAAATTGGTCGACCTCAAACAAGTCTAAAAAGTACTTAAAGATCCTTAACCCTTTGCGCGCAAATTGCCAAACGCTCAAAGTCACCTGCGCGCTTTGATCTTCAATGAAGGACCATGAGAAGAGTGCGATGGTTGCCTCCTTCCTGGAGTCACACCAACAGATATGTGTGTTAAATGTGGGGGGATGAGGGCGTGATCTTCCGCGTTGGTACCTGCTGCAGGCTGTTGGTGTGTCAGTGCAATATGTGTGAGTGTGAGAAGATAGTTGACTCCTGGACATGTTGAAATTTAACACACAACGGAGAGAAAAAGAGGAAATTAGTGTTTCCGTGACCGCTTCTTCTGCTTCAGCGAGTTGAATCGCGTCGGACCGGCGGAGGATACCGCAGCAAGGTATGTGTACTCTGTGCTGTATTGTGTCGTTGAGGTGTAAGCACTACAATAATCCAAGCATAGAGGCATCACTGGCTACAGGCGTATTTCTATAACCGCTTGTTATTGTTTTCGAGTTTTCTTTGCCTCGGGATTTTCATTTTTATGACCAAATATGCTTTCAGGTTTTATTAATGTGGTCTATTTCTATTTGTAAAACCTTTTTTGTTTTTGTTTTACATCACATTAAATAAAGTAACATTTTGTCTCGATAGGAAATAACTGAGTCTTGAGTCGACGCGGTAATAAACGGTGATGAAGGCGTTACATCTGAGGAAGTAACCACCAGTTTCCTCTTGAGTTCAAACAGATACTATCGTGTATGTCTTAAGCACTACATCTAACATTACTATTAATAATAGTATTTGTTTTAATATAAGAGTAACATTCTCTTGATTTAATTTTCCAAGTTGTACACAAAAAAGTGTCCAGTGTCAGCAGAACAATGGAGAGTATGATTGATTACGGTATAGTGTTATTATATTTCCCTTCAGTGGATTGTTAATGCTGATGCATCATTGTGAAAGCAGTATTATAATGTGTAGCTGGATGAAGATGGAGCCATGTTTTAGCTACTTTACAGTTTATTACGATGGTTCCCAAGCTGGGGTTCTGGGCCCTTCAATGGGTCAAAAAATTGAATCTGATGGGTCGTGAGATAAAGTATAGGACAGAAGTAAAAACAAAGCTCTAGACAAATTTGTATTAATCTTTGTATTAATTATTCTTGTTTTATAGAGGGGTTATGTGCTGGAGTGTTTGTTGTTTTGTTGGGACCAGTAACTTGGGGAGTTTCCCTCTGTTTACAGTCTTTGTGCTAAGCTAACTGGCTGGTTTGTATGAAACGCACACACAAAGTGACTAAACAGATTGTCTATGTGTCTCATGACCAGAGTTCAGTAAAGGCTCCTGACTCCTCTTGCAGGCGAGATGAGGGACCGACTGTGTGAGCTGGAGACCGTCACCTCCAAGCATTTAGGAGTGGGACGCAGGCCCGAGGAGAACCCCGACCACACCAGCGATGATGGGGAACTGGAGCAACAGGCCATCGTGTTCGAGGGAGAAGACGTGATGGACAACATCTACAAAGAGGCCCAGGCGATGAGGAAGGAGATGCAGCTGCTCAAACTGGACGTGAAGCGTCTTGGGAAGCAGAACAGCAGGTTCCTCACGTCTGTCCGGAGGATCAGCAGCATCAAACGGGACTCCAACGCACTCGGGCGGGACATCAAGGCCAGAGGGGAGGGCATTTACGCTCGGCTGGAGAAGCTGAGGAAGCTAAGCAAAGAGCTGGAGGAGGAGCACGGGCCTGCATCCGCCGTGGCTCGCATGGTGCGCTCACAGTGCGTGTCTCTGACCAGCGCCTTCCACGACGCCATATCTGAGTACAACGACGCGGAGATGGTCCAGAGGGAGAACTGCAAGACTCGCATCCACAGGCAAGCGGAGATCATGGGCAAGGAGGTGACCAGGGAGCAGATTGACGAGATGATCGAGACGGGCAAGTGGAACGTCTTCTCTGATAACCTCCTCCTGGAGGGGAGGACTGCCAGATCTGCTCTCAGTGAGATGGAGACCCGGCACAAGGAGCTGCTGGAGCTGGAGGGCCGCATCAGGGACATTCACGAGCTCTTCTCGCAGATGGCCCAGCTGGTGGAGGAGCAGGGCTGCATGCTGGATAACATAGAAGCAAACGTAGGTGCGACTCAGGACTACGTTGACAAGGCCACCGTTCAGATCAAGAAGGCCGTGAAATACCAGAAAAACAATCCGTGCAAGAAACTCTTTTGCTGCTGCTGCCCTTGCTGCTAATGAGACGGCAGCAGTGTTATTTTTATTTCTCAGTGTCACGAGAATAATCGAGATCAGATTCAAGTCAGCTTCCTGTGCAGAGATGCCCTAATAAATTGCTTTAGTTTGTGTATTTATTTAACTCAATCGAAGCCTTGCCTTCATTGTTAAGCAGCGGTAGTATCCAAATGTCACACTCTAGTCGCCTCTAGTTTGAGCTGTTCTGAAACAGGGCCCACATTTCAAACCACACAACCGTATGCAAATATACAGTGAGATATGGATGTTACATTTCCTGATAGTTACTGAGAAGAATGTTTGCATATTTGCTGTTGAGACAACTATAATCGAATGCTTAACCCTCAGCTTTCTTCCTCAATATTCAGCTGTAATGCATTATGAGATATTTAAGTAGTGTACATCAATCTAAATGGACTAGTTTTCACGGCCTGAATGTACTGGAAGTAGGTCTATTTCTTATTACAGCCATTGCTTAACAAGCCTTAAGAAACTCACAGCCTCTGGTTGTGGTTAGCTGTGGAGGCACGATAGATTTGTGTGGATTTGTGCAACGACGTGTCGGCCACCCCCATGTATGGTTATCACCAGCTTACAGGCCAGGCCTTTGGGTTTCTCAAGATGTGTTGCTTCACATGAAAGACAACTCTCTTTGTAATGCCTCCACTTTTCAGAGATTAAACAGTGTCGTCCTCAAGCCCATGCTCTTCTTTATAGCTTCACTGATTTTTTATTTTTATTTCTATCACTGACACACAGATTTGTGTTATGGGGCAGGTTTGCTCAGATTCTTCCATACAAAAAGAAGCGCCAGACTCAATGTGTACATGAGTGTTTGCTCAGGTAGTCACCAGCGAATGGGGAAACTACTCCGGTCAGAGTACTCTCTGTTTGCACAGCAGGCCTATCTTATTGTTTGAGTGTGGTGAGAGTACAATTTAGAATGTTCCTGTGTGTGTGGCAGTCCATCATCCACTGGGGGATTCCCAGTAAAGTATAGACTGAAGCTTTAGAGGCCATCATCAGTCTCCATACTGTAACCTACATGTAGTGACACACCAGTGGGTGTTTACAGAGTTACTGCTCATCTTCTACTCTGTGTTGGTTAGTGGTGGGAATTTACTGGCAGCGTGACTGGGCACCGTGACGTCATACACAGTTTTTTTGTACCAGGATGGCCGAGTGGTTAAGGCGTTGGACTTAAGATCCAATGGACGTAGTCCTCGTGGGTTCGAACCCCACTCCTGGTATATTACTTAAAATAAGTATAATGTATGAACTGGCTTCTGTTCATCTGTAAAAAGTAGTTACTTATGTTAAGTGTCTGTTGACGAGTACATGATTAAGTTCTGGTTTGGCGCCGCAAGCCAACATTACATTTCAGTGTTTCATTTAAAGTTACATATCGCTGGCACATGGGAATCATTTTCCAGACGTGCTAATTAGCTAATTAAGCTTACACACCTGCAAACAATTAAAGCTGCGGAGGTTCAGAGGCCGAGAGCGGGAACATCACGGAACACGCGACTAACTGCCATCAGGTAAGATTATGACATCGTGTTTCCCCTTGCAGTAATGATTTTTTGGGTAAATATATATATTTTTTGGGTAAAGACAGCACACTTCACAACGTAGCATATCTCGGCGTTAAATCAATATTTGAATGCATAATCTGGTCCACGTGTAAATGAAACGGTAGTTAGTCCAACAACAAAACAACTTCAATCTCCTTTGACTTACAGGACGTTTAACTCAATAAATGTGTTTATCGATGATTTGTTTAGTTGTGATGGTCAAAACAAGAGGAACCGTGGCATTACATTTAAATTAGCATAGTTCGAAACAATTTAAATGTGTCACTCGAATATATCTGTAGGTTCTGCTTAAACCAGATTCACCCTTTATTTACCATGCACTGTGTAATTACATTAAAATGAGACAAGTCACGTGCCGATTTATCACAGTGGAGGGTGTTGAATAACATGTCTTCATAGAATCCTTCTCATCCGTTATGGGGACATTGTTTGGATCTGGCGCCATCTAGCGGTGAACAGGTAGAACTCATGCACACAGCACAATTATTATTTTAGGGAAACATTGAGGGAATGCACAATATATTAAAGTACCTAAAACTCAAATTTTAAAACTCAAAAAAAAAAAAGAAAAAGTTTTGCAACTGTTTTAAGTTCTATTATTTATCTTCATGGTCTTCTTGTTACATATTGATGAATATTTTTATTAACAGAATTGAATCAGTTTTGCTGCCATACATACCTCACATTTGGTCATTAGCCTGTTGAAGACAGTACGGTTGAATCATTCCTCTCAAAGTTTTGCAAGCTTGAATCCGGTGTGCAAATAATTACTTTTTCCTTCAATTAGATTTCTAATCTTGTACTTGACCTAAATATTTTAAAGTGCACACAGCTACCTTTCTACTCTGTTAACACTTCTGTCAGATGTGAAACCTTTTAGTGAGTTTTGTTAAAACAAAGCAGGTGATCTATAAAGAAAAGAAAAATCAAACACTTAAAAACTGAGATCCTCTTTATTAAAATGCTCCAACAGTCAAACAAATGAGGCTGGCATATTGTAGTGAAAAACACAGGAGTGAAAACAAAGTGCCTGCAATGCATTGCTAAAAAAACAAAACAACAAAAGCCGTGTGCTGCAGATGAAATGCATTCTCTCTTATTGTTGTATGAACCTCAACAGAGCTAAAGACTAATTTAATTCTCAGGTCATGCATTCAACTCCATCAACTAAACCTGAAGAATGTGGCATGTGATCAGATCTGGCTGAGGTTCATTATGACACAAGTTCTTAAAAAAAAAAAAAAAAAAAAAAAAAGTACTAAAATGAGAAATAATCTGTACGAATGAGTTTGGAGTTGAAGACGTCAAATTCGCATGCAAAACACGAGGGAGTGAAATTCTGGCCACTTCAAAGATAAACCCCCCCCCCAGCATTATAATTCAAATTTTACAGTACATGCCATCATGTGCAAATCAATAATTCAAATACAAATCTAGACATTACAGAGGCAAATTCTTTTTCAAAATAAAAGTACCAGTACAAAAAAAAATAAGAAACAAACCAAACATGGATTAGAGTAAAAAGACAGCATAGTTCTGTCGTCACCTGGGCTTTTCATCAAACTTTAAAAATATTTAAAAAAAAACAAAAACAAAGTCGCACAAATTCCTTCAAATGAGTATTCATTTCTGAGCAGTTTCTTTTTCTGTGACATTTTCAAACGATCTCCAATGCACATTGCAAAACATGTTCACACAAGTGAGCAAAATGTGTCATGTTTTGTTAGACCGTGCTTCTAAATCCAAGCAAAAAATATATACAGTGTTCAAGTCTGATCGCTTCAGCATTTCTGCTGACGGCCTATTTCAGTTACTCCGTTATAAACACGAGGCTGATGGATGACAAACATGTAATCTGTTCGTCCAGCACTGCAAAACACTGTTCTGTTATTAGAATACTGAGCGGTTCACCAGACCCCGTAATAATCAAGTAGCTGACAAGTCGTCCTGTCGCTTTCAGCTAGTTTTCTTGACACACACACACACACACACACACACCATGCTGCGCGACAAAGCTTCATGCTACAACCCTGAGACGCCAACACAGTGGACTTGTAGTGACAAAAACATACAACCATGATAAATAATGAATATGAACACAATCAGTGATGCTCATTACTGGAGGGAAGCATGTGCGCGTTTCACACCACCTGACCTGGCCTGCAGGGTTCTATGAGGTCTGACGCTGAGGGAGGCAAACCGAGCGGACCACTGATAGATTCTTATATTCAAGGAGTACATTCATCACTTTATATGCTACATTTGTTTTTGTATAAAACCTACAAACAATTGCTGGTTAAAAGTAGCTGGTAGTGCAGACAAACCACAGGACAACCACAGCTAAAAATAGTGTTACTTCATCTCTCACATGACTAACGAGCCTGCCCGTTAGTCAGAGGTGAGATAAGAGAGAAAAGGAAGACAGACCACCTTTGTTGCTGCTATGACGTGCCAAACCACACTATATTTAAAACACCAAACATGATGATGGTGACGTGCTTATGCTGGTGAACAGAAATCAACACCCTCAGTGAAGACAGTCCGGTAAAGTGGCCGACCACAGATGTTTGGTCGGTCTTAAAATGTAGAACAAAGCCATGAAATCGACGAGTTCTAAGCAGAACACACGTGGTCACTCTAGGTATCAGGATAAGATATAAAAAAAGATGCCAGTAAACTGTAAATCTCACTGAGATTTACAGTTTACTGGAACAACCTCATGACTAGAAAACCAAGTGTATCATAAGTTAAGGCTGTACTCTTACCTCCATTGTAGCACAGTACTTAATTTTATGATATAAAAATAAAAAAAATCTACATCAAAACATCTGGTTTTTTCATACAATGTCAGAGTAGATACGAGTAAAACTTTAGTACACTAGTATTAATAAATCCATAAGAGTGGAAGATACAAGGCGAGCATGTAATTTGCTTGTTTACAGTCCTGATCTGTGACTGCAGCACGCCGGCCTCTGCTATCCGACTTTGCCTTATTTAGTGAGGGAAGATTATTTCCACTGTGAGGCAAAGGGCCAAACAACAGTTTATAATGTTCAACCAGGAGTTGTGTTTTTTGAGGCTGGAAGAGACGTATGTCTGTAAACACTGGGTAAAAATACACATGTATTTGAGTTCTAATGGTCTCAGAAAAGTGCAAAAGATGCCTTCGTCTTTCAGAATCACTTATGCTACTGGTTTGAGAACTGAACGTAAACACCTTCCCTCTTTTGTGAGCTCTCTGGTGAAGCACATGCAGGGCAGAGGGATCGCCTCCTCCTGACGAGTAATCTTATTGAACTGGCACTTCTTGAGGTGGTCGGCCATGCTGGCGATGTTGGCAAACTTCCACTCATTCACTGTACCAAAGGCTGTGCTGAATCGCCACACCTGAATGACAAAAACGAAAGAGAACAGGTCAATTACTTCTCATGCTGCGACAATATACAGTTGTATTCTTTGAGGAACTATAGTACAAGTGACACCATTTATTTAAAAAAAAACAACCAACCTTGTCTGTGATCTGCCATGAAGGAGACCCATCAGCACGCCGTTTCTTCTCCCACAGCAGGACGACCATGCCGCGCATCATGAGCAGACTAGCACACACGTCCCTCATGGTGTGGGACACTCTGGACAGTTGGCACAAGCTGAAGCTGTCCAGGAAGCTTGCTACGCGTTGCAACACTTCGAATGGAAGACTGCTGAATTGATCGCACTGAGAGCCAAAGCGGTAGGGCTTTCTCGGGAGGTCGTCCCCAGCTTTTAAGGGCAAACCCGGCTGAACCCCAAACGAGCCGAGGTGCCTGTCGTGGATGATTCTGAAGCCCTGCACGGACGGGCAGAATCGTCTCTGGGAGTAGGTGCAGCCGTAGTAGGCCAAGGGGCAGCGTTGCTCCATCCAGCCATTGAGCCCGGCGTGAATATCCCCGTGAACATTTTTGAAGTGAGACGAAAACTCATCCCGCCGGAATAGCTGTCCACACACGAACGTGAACATGGAGCGCTGCTTTGTTTGGTATCGGGCCACACATTCGAGCACCAGGTCCAGTCTGAGAGTGTGGAAGGGGCTCGGATTGGAGAGCTGTGGGCTGGCGTGATCGCAGGCCGAGGCTGAACCAATATCTCCCACCATTGTGTTGGTTGCAAGAATGGCTGAAGGGAAGGAGAATGTCTGAGTACCGAAGTCGATGTGGTAGCCATCGACAAACCTGCTGTCAGAGATTCCTCTGCCACCCGGAGAGTCGCCGAGGCAAAACAGCAACGCCGCAGTGATGAGATCAATGCCGTGGAGGCCCATGGGGTCATCTGCTACTTCAAGGTCCGACGTGTCTACTGACTTGTCCTCCATCTTTGCTCGGAACAAGTACGGGTCTGACAGCAGAGCCCGGCGTCCGTTAAATGTAAACATACTTATTCCTCTAAGCACCTCTACGCTCTGTAGCTTACGCTCCAAACACCTATACCTGAGTTCACTGGGTAAATGTTGTAAGAAGTTATTTCTCACATGTTCAGACAGCAGGAATGGCATCGGACGTGCAACTGGTGCTCGTTGTGGCACAGGAGGTTCCAGTGCTACAACCGGCATGTAGCTCTGAGGCATCTCTGGCCAGACACGGTTGGACTCGTTTATTGGCTCCTCGACAATTTTTTCCTTCTCTTCAAAAAACAACTCCACAAAATCATTTTCTTCTGCCCAGCTGATAGCATCTTCTTCTCCATCTGTCCCGACTGCGCAATCCACTCCACCTACTGCTCCGAGCTCACACTCTGAATCAGAGTCGCTCTCCTGCATATCTACATTCTTCACACCCTCAGCAACATAAACATTACGGAGATCTCCATTCTTTTCGCCATTTAAATTTCCAACAATTACTTCAATATCCTTGCCATTGCTGAGGATGTCCAAGGCCGCTGCTAAACTTCTGCTTGTATCCACCGAGGGTCTATACGACCCACTATAGGGCTCCTCTTCCATTTCCACTGCTGCATTACCCAACACTGCCCCTGGTAGACTCGACGCTGTGGCCATTTTGTTACTTTTATCTGCTTCCTTATCTCCAGTCTTTGACACGGTGGTCGTGACCTTCAGGGACTCCAACAACATCCTCTGATCCTGCAGAGCCAAGGCCATGTCTAGCTGCTCCACCTCATCAAAGTCTTTGCTCAAGTTTTCATAGGACTTGCGATCCGAGTAGCTCACAGGCCAACGATTCCACTCCATAGTACAACATACTATACTGGCCGGGCACGTCGCGAGGTGCTTAGCCATCCTGATCCTTGCAATAGTGAACGGGCAGCCAAACACGCTGTTGAGGCATGGCAGCCGCTCATACGGACACAGTAGACGGTGCTCCTCAAGTTTGCATGAGTGAAAGACTGCCCCGCAGACGAGAGGACAGCAGATGAGGTTGCAGCAGATACCTGCCTCTGGTCTTACCATGCACCTTCTGTTGATGCATTTAAGGCAGTGAGAGTGCAGGCCCTCCATTTTCTTTCTGTGTCGTTCCTTGCCCAACTGGTTTCTGGCAGGGAAAAGTTCAGCCCTGAAAAGTCAACAACAATATACTTATTTCACAAGTCTTACGAAACAGAATGCAAGACATTACTACAACAATGTAAGATTAGAAGAGGCAGCAGCCAGCTGTAACAAAAAATGCTGCTGTTACGTGATCCCATTAACATTATTGCAACGACACGAGGTCCCGTGCCTTCAAACTATTCTGTAACTTAGTCTCACACGTGTTCTTTCTCTGCGTGTTTACTAAACATTACGGCTGTAATCTTTCACAGCACCCCTTATGGCGACACCGCTTCTTCCAGGACTTTCGGGGAAACCTGACCCCTCAAATTTCCGCAAAGCCCCACAAGAGAACAACTGTATTGTTTGAGTCTTTGCAGCTCATGGCAAGCAACGGCTTGCTAAAATTACGCAATCAGAGCAAGCAAGTTAGCAAACGGCTAAAAACACAAACAAGCGGCTCCAATTGTTCTAACAAACAATATCGCCATTGGTCCCAATAACTATAACTGTAATACGTTATTTCCTTGCCAACTGGGCAGGGCAAAATAAATGTGAGTTCATAAGTCAACGATACTTTGTGAAGTTAAACAAAAGAACATCAACGACATGGCCAGCCAGTTAGCATTAGCAGCTAAACTTCGCTAGTTAGCTGACATCTTCAAGAAACCGCTTACCCGAGTCACGGGGTTCTCCGGGTGTATTTTAATCAATACTTCTTTACTTTATATCAGCGCTGTCGACATCAGCAACGTGAAAACGTAAGCTACATAAATATCTAACCGTAGCAGTCCCGGTCCTCTGATGATATGAACTGGCTGCGACTGGTTCTTCAGTCCTTTTGCTGCTCTGTAGTCGGCGTTTGTGTTGATCGCTGCTGGTGTGTGACGTTGCAGTGCGTGCTACGTCATCACGTAAACAGACGTGTTGTTAGGTTTGCGACCTATAAAAGGGCACTGAAGTAGACGGAGTGGGGAAATACCCTGAGGACAGTTTTACATTTAATCACTGGTGAAATGTCTCTGTGCTGTTATTTATGGATGCAGACTCTTGCCAGGCCATTCAAATGACTTATAAAGGATAGAATAGTGGTTGATGAAGTGCTGAGGCCGTGTAATAATGAACGTGCCTGTGTAGCCAAAGCATGATGAAGCATATTCCTCTGTGCCACATACCTCGGCTATTGTCTAAAAACTATTAAAGACGCCCCCGTTGCACTGGATTACATGTTCCTTCATTACCACGAACATGGGCAGTCAATCCCATATTCCTCGTCCTGGTGCTGTAAATATTCATTTATGTTCACGTGTGATCAATCAGCGGAAATATTCCTCAACAAATGAATTAATTTACTCCCTTTTGAAAAACAACAGAAAGGGTAAGGATGTCAAAGTATTGAGAGACAGACTGTTCTTTTTGGTTTTTTAATAGGATTTTTTGACAATAAGAAAAGTAAAAATAAAACCATATACTATTCTCCCATCACAAGTAAAAGTAATGCAATTAAAGTATTAAAAAAACAAATTACTTATCAGTTTGTTTACTATATATTGTTGTGTACACAGCATTGTAATGCTGTTGCTGGTGGAGCTAATGTTCACTATTTCATACTGTTGGGCAATTTAATCTATAACAATGGACCTTTTTTATAGTCAAATGCTTTGCAGATTCAGATTGTATCTGGATGCATGGTAACTATAGCTGTCTGATAACTGTAGTGGAGTAAAAATAACAATATTTCCCCCTGAAATGTAGGAAAGCGGAAGTACAAAGTTGCATGAAATAGAAATACTCCAGTAAAGTACAACAACAAACTTTTTTACCACTGGAAAAATAACAATCGAGACAACATTTGAGGGAGCCCTTTTACTAAGCTGATTTTTTACAATCCAGGAAATTTATTCTATAAAGAAAAACATATGCAAGATTTTCAGTATTTTCATTATTATTATTATTATTACTATTATAAATCACACCTGTACATGTGTTTGTATTTTTACATTGTTTATGTGTTTGTGTGTCCATTTCTTTGATCAAAAGGGTCCCTGATCCCCTGATTCACGAGGCCACCTCTGAGATGTGGTGGACGTTGGACAGAGTGAGCTGTGCCTCCCGCGCTGGGTAGAAACGTCTTGAGCGAAACCACAGCCTCCCAAACACTCCTGTGATCAGCAGCAAGACCACCAGCAGCCCTCCGAGGACAAAAGTCTCCACATGAGGTAATCCGCCTGCATCTACTATAGAAAAGAACACAGGTGGAATCTCACTTTGCATATGAATTGCATACACTTATCTAGAATCTTTAAGCTTTTAAAAATGTAAAAGTTAAAGCTCTAAGATCCACATGAGATACAGAGTAAATGAACATACTCAGAGGGGGCTTTTCACTGTTAAGTCGTCTGATTGGTCCATAAGACACTGTATGGGACAGAGGGATGTCTCTGCGTGTCCTGATTAATTCATCTTCACTGGAACAGTTCTGTTTGGCAAATAGATGAGTAAAACAACAGAGAAACACAAGTCTCAATGTCAAGCAGTGCATATTACAGATTAAGACTTAGAGCTTAACGACACAAGATCATATGGCTGAAAAACAATTCTAGGCCAAAGGGTCTATATTAAGGACATAAGCTGCACATATAGCAGGCTACTTGTCTCAGCTGGCCTCTGAACAACAGTTCGAGGAATGGGGGTTGCAGGAGCTCACTCACAGGCTGACACAGGCCCGGGGTGTTGTGGCAGATCTGGACGTTGCAATGGAGGAAGACGTTGGTGTAAGAGCTGCCGACAAACTTGAACATTTGTATCCTGAACGTGGCCTCCGGGCCCTGGCCATTCTTCAGCACACTAAGGGTCTGTTCATTTGACAACACTGGGCAGCTACGGGATGGGGGACAAAGAAGTCAGGGAGGCCCAGTGTTAGTGAGAATGAAATACTGTACTTTAAAAATAGAGACAAGGAACAGATTTCAACTGATGTGACAAATTGCAGAGCTTAGAAATAATTCAACTCGGTGCGAGACAGAGTTGTATTTTCTTTTCCCTCCGGCATTTTGAAATCATTGTGCATTTCATTGCCCTGCTGTTGCTTACAGTTCCAAATACTGCCTGGTTGTCAAGGACATGCACAGCTGTTAAAGTGAAATGCACGTGGCCTCTCAGACAGGAGTCACATGACCAGACTCTGAGAGAGTCTGGCCAGCTCGCTGAGCAACAAATTCTCTTATTTCAGATTTCAACAGTGCTCCTGTAAGAGGACTTAGAGCTGTTTGGACAGAGTGTGTGTAGAAATCGCACACATCACATAAGCAGGTTTCAACATAACCAATACAAAGTATCTCAACCCATTGTATCCATAATTTTTCTGCTGGAAGATGACAAATGGAAAAGAACAGGCTATGCCACTGTATAGCTGCACTATGAGATGTTTATTTGTTCCCTATTTGCTCATATTATATAAGAAATGTCTTTTGTCTTAGCTGTTCCAGGGTCTACCTGTCTCGGATGAAGGTGTACTGAATATTGCTGTACGGATCACTGGTCGGTGTAGCCCAGCATCTCTCCAAACGCAGCATCAGTTGAGCCGGTATCTGTCAGGCAAAAAGAGTTGAGTCATTCTTTATGCAAGGTAATTACTTTTCCATACTGGGCCACAAACTGATGATTCATAGTTAGTAAACAACAGCTGTAGCCTGTACCAAGATGTTATAACAACATGGAAGAGGAGCAGCAGCACTCAAATTACGTTCTGGTCACGGGTTGAGTGTTGGATTTCCACCATTGCTAGGAACATCCACAACCAATTGCTTAACGTTGTGTAACAACTACTCCAAAAATAGCTGTCAATAGTAAGAACACTTTAATGTGTTTTTCAAAGCTCAGCATACACAATCTCTGGACTCTTATTACATTTTATGAACTACCTTTTCTTGTAAAAGGTAGTTCATAAAAGGTAGTTCATAAAAGAACTAAGTTCTTTTATGAACTTACATGAACTAACATTTTTCCTTCATGGCATACGGTATCATCCAAAACACAGAATATTGCCCGACATGATTAAATTGTACACAATCATCAGGTCAATGTAAGGTGTAGGAGGTAATCAGTTGAATTCTATAGTCGTATTTTAATACTCTGTAGTATCACTGAAGGTGATTTACCATGAAGACTTTCACAAAGATGTCGTCTTCCAGCGTCAGCGATGGAACAGTGGTCCATCTGTCCTCAAACGCTTCGTCTTTGTACAGCAACATCGACACGGAAAAGTTCCCATCCTCTGTGTTCAAAGTGATGGTTCTGAAGACAAACAGAGGATTAAAGGAGGGCCGTGTTAAAACCAAACAATAAAAACCATTCAGGAGAAGGTTCAATTCAAACACTTACCTGACATCAACTCTAATCATGTTTTCACCGTCGGGCTGTTGGACCAGGTAGTTTACGGGGTAGCGGCATACGAATGTTATGTTGATATAGTTCCTCGTAATAACTTCTGAATCGTTGTTGTGTATAGTGTTTATGAACATGATGTGTGTATCATCTGATGCCTGAGGAGAGAAAGATCAAATAAAAGTCAATTTAAAATAATCAAGTTAGACACATATTTGCTAAGTGCAACACATTTATGCAGCAGTGTTTTCCTTTGTCAATACAAGAATAGATACCCACTGTGCTTTTTTGTGTGTGAACCACTGCACAGAAATCTGTGGTGGATGTTCAGTGAAAGGGAGCTTGAAGAGAGCAGGTATCTGATATCAAGAGGGTGTCTCTTCTTACAGGTTTCATTTAATTTGGTCCATCAAAACCTCAGGCAGCTCAACAACCCTGGTGGTGACCCACCGACCCACACTGAACATTACACAGCAACGTCTTTCCACTATAACTATATGCCAAACTGGGCAGTGAACCTTGCTTATTCAAGTAAGCAGTTTTCTGCAACAAATTGGTAATTCATTGTTGATTAACTTGATGCTTATTGCTTATCAATTTGATTTATGTAAATTGTTAGAAATTAATGAAAAATCACAATATCCTAAAACCCAAGGTGATATCCTCAAATGGTTCAGTTTGCCTGACAAACAGTCCAAAACATAAATAAATTCAATTTACTTTCGCATAATGAATAGAATAGCAACAAATCCTTTATATTTGAGAATGCATGACTGGAGAATGTTTGAAAAATGACTCTTAATGACAATCGATCACCAGAATGACCCCAGGAAGATAAGCTAGTAGCTCATCCAAATAAATAAATGAAATATCTGCTATTTAATCTTCTCGATGGTCCAAATGATTGATTTGACTAATTGTCATAGTATCAATAAATGTCTTGTTTCAGTCCAAAACCCATAAATATAAATATTACTACAATGTAAGACAGAGAAAAGCAGCAAATTCTCTTTTGCAAACCCAGAACCATCAAAAGTTTTGCTTGACAAAAAGTGAAATGATTGATTATTAAAATAGTTGCAAACTAATTATTTTCAACTGTAAGCAAGGTAGTATGGTTGTAGTGAATGTGGTTAGAGGGAAAAATGACACAAGTAAGATGTACATAGCTGCAACATTTCGTAGTTTAAAAAAATCACATTAAAACCTAACTGGAGTCATTGAGGTTCAATTATATAATGTCTGTCAGAAGCTGTATCCTCTACAGTTATCATTTCACATGATGTAAATGTGAGTGATACTGCTCAATATTCCTGTTTGCAGCTCACTAAGGTAAAAACTGTAACATGTGGACGTGTGAATAGGTTGTGTCCAGGGTTTGTCTGGGCTCCTGCCGAGTGCAGAAGGAGGATGAATCGCCTTGAGCTCTAACATTTGAGACATCTTTTACTACCTCTCGGTAAACACCCCCCCCCCCCCACTATGAGCACCACTGACAGGTCTCTGCAGCGAGCCACAGATTTTCAATACGCCACAACAGATCCCCACCGGCACCTGCACTTATAACTGGGTAACACGAAGGCTCGGTGTCTCGCCAAAATGCAGAACTGTCGCTGAAACATGACAGAGGACGCTGTCATGTTTCAATAAAAAATGTCTGACCTTTAATTAAACCCGACAATTCCGTCATTTCCTTTCTTGACGGCCGGTTTTAAAGTTGCAAGGTGAAAGCAAGATTGACAGCTATGGCATTCTTCTCCTTTAGCAACAGCCATCTAATCCAGAGCAGGCTTACTTTTCTCAGCCGCTATGCGAAAAAAACCTTGTAAAACTGCTGAGGCGGAGCACTGGGAGATTTCCTCCCCGTTGAAAGCCGTGTTAACCTTTTGCTTGCTTTACAAGAAAAAAAAAAAGCATCATGCATTCCAGGCAAGCAATTCAAGGACACTCGTGTGCTAAAGTAGGGATTTACGCTTTTCCAAAATCCACGAGAGTGGCTGGATTTAAATAATCAGGAGGCTAGTTGGCCAATGATTTATGGCCTTCCTATTCAGTGAACATCAACAAATAATCATTTCCATGTAAATCCTGATAATTTAGAACCACGAGGCCATTCAGGGTCCCCTTGCTGCTTTGAGTGAGGTCCTGCGCTGTTGTTGGGAAAAGGAACAACGCCACTCTTCTTTCTTGACATACACGCCCCCCCCTTCTTTTCTCTTTACTACTTTCTGTCTGGGCTCAGAGTATGCGCCTTTCTCTGTCCGTCTTATTATACTTGCTCTGAGCTAATTCCATAGTACCCGTCTGAACACAGAGCCTCAGTCCACATTTACGTCACAGCGGAAGAAAAAAAAGTGTCTGGTCTCATTCAAGTTATCTTTTACTATTATGTAAAGTGCAATAAATCCACTCAAGTAGCTCCGTTTTTGGCTGTGAGAAGACCCTGATTGATGCCCAGTTCCCTCGACAACCGTAGACAGATTTATTATCATGGGGATCTTAATGTTGTTAATAATGGAGATACCAAGTGTAATTTGTCTTCATCCTTTGTTAAGCTTTGTTTTAAATGTCTGAGTTCACGTGCAATATTTGATTAGTTGGACTCTTTTGACTCCTGCTGACACTCGGACTAAGAAGTTGTCAAAGACTTTAACGCAGAAGAAGGTGAATACCATTATTGTTCCACAGTCAGAGAGATTTGTCTTGATTCTGAAAACGTAGTCATCTCCGACCTCAAAGCCACGGCACTCCGGATCATTTAAATGCAAATCCCAAACCTACACAAACAAAACAAACAAGAAAAAATAGATAAATTATTAATCAAAATTGCACTGTAAACATATTAGGACATCAGTGAAATAAAAAAGTAATACTTTTGGGTCTTGTTGGTGCTCACTTACATAAACTGGAGGCACTTTGTTGAGGAAGAAAGTGCTGGGAATAACAACCTCCATATGGTCGTTGGTACAAATGACGGTGTCGTTGAGCTCTAACAGAAAGAAGAAACGAACAGATTCAATCTCACAAAAAACAAGAATGAGTTTAATAATGTGAAGAGATGTTGGTTTTTAAAACTTTGAGCTCTATCCATTTTCCCTCCAAAGTAAAGATATTTATATTGACTTTGTGTATAATCACATATGTTAAGTCTCATAGACGACCCGTATGTTTTACACACAAAGGCCACCGATGTCAAAATGTCAGCGTTAGAACGTAGTTAAGTACACTTAGTCAAGTACGGTAGTATTTCCATGTTCTGCGACTTTATACTTTGACATCTCAGAGGGTAATATTGTACTTGTACAGCTAACTTTACTTTTCAAATAAGATTTTACAAACAAACCATATGTGTTCTTAAAATATAATGTATTTTATAGATGAAACCACCCCAATAGTATATTTAATAGTTAAAATTAGCTTCAACTCGACCAGCTCCAACATTAAAATGCTGCTTACCCGTTAATGCATCAATATTAAAGATCAAACAATATGTGGAGTAACATTTAGTCTGCTGCACAGTAAGTACTTTTATCCTTGATACTTCTGTACTTTAAGATTTTGAATGCAGGACTTTTACGTGCCATCGTGTTGTATTATGCTACCTTGACCTAAGATACTTCTTTAACTGCTCAATTTCAAATTATACTGCTGCTGTTGTGAAGGAAAGAGTGTTAAATTAAATGATCACTTTTGAAAGACCAGTTTAAAGCCAGGAAGGAATACGTTTTCCCCACACAAAGCAGTTTCTTTGACCCTTGACATTTCATTCCCGGGTGTGTGATGTGAGGTGCGAGCTCACCCTCCTCCTCCTCAGGCTCCAGATACACTGCCGAGGTGACCATCCTCATGGTGAACAGTAACCAGGCACAGACCAAACTGGCAGATGCCATCTTCCAAGGACTCTCCCTCTGGTTTCTCTTAGCTCAGCCACTCCACTACCCTTTGGCCCTCTCCCCGAAACTCTGTAAAATCTCCCGGGGACTGTTCGCCACAGCTCGCTGTCACCACATGACGTAGTGCCCCTCTCTTACTCCAACCCTCGAAATACAGCTCTGATGAATTAGGAGCCTCCCTCTGGCCTTGAAACACCAGCTTGAATGATGTCCCCACCAACAATGAGATTCCACACATGAATAGGGGGAACTGAGGGGAGTCCAAGGGAACACGTATGTTACCGCCTACTGCGGCCATGTCCTATTAGTAAACATCTTACAACCGTTTCTTACTACACAGGGAGCACCAACGGGTCTGGTAACCATGTAAAGAGGAACAACAGTACGGGGCTGGCACTCTTTGTTGTCTACATCCTTTGTCTGGACATTTTAAAATCTTTACTGGTGCGGGAATCCCAGTCATTCAGGCGAGAAGAAAGTCATTACGAGTTGAGGGCAATTCAGTCACGATGCCACAGACCTGTGAGTGTACGCGTGTGTGTGGTGGAAGAGACCATAAAATACATGAGCAAGCAAACACAAGAAAACATTATTTTCATTACCCCCCCCCCAAAAAAAAGCTTTGAAACAGGAGAAATGTAATAAAAAAGCCACATATCTGTAAATCTTGTCCGGACAATTTGTAAGTGGTAATTTAAGAAATACATGAGATAATGTGGCAGAAAAAGTCTCACACTTTTCTGACTTTTATGAGTTTGATTTACAAGATTAGTTTCCAAGACACTGAATTTTGTGCTTTTTGCGTTTTGTTTTGCTAATGAGACTGGCCCAAGTGTTCCGCTGAATTGTCTGGCATTGTTTTGTCAGACAAATAGCTTAAAGAAGATATGTCAGGCAGAAGAAAATCCTGCCATAATCTCTCGCTACTTCTTCAATTGTAAAAGGGTGAAAGAGAGTTGCGCTCAATGGCGTCCTTTCCTGCTTCCATGTTTACAAAACGGGATAAACCGCAATAAAAGCACCGGACAAAAAGAGCTGGTCATAACAGGTTGACACCCTGTCATCTACAGATGTTTATTTCCTGATAGTTGTGAGGAAAACTCAATCACTCCATACGAGTTCCTCCAATTTCCACTAAACTTACAGTGAAGTTGTATCCAAATGCATGACACATAATATTAGATTAACACAATACTGTTCAGTCTAGTCAAATGTGACCATCAAACATGTACTTGAACAGCAGACGTAGTTATTGAATCAGTAGGTTACAACTATGACAAGTGATCCAAATACTCCAAAGAGACTAAAAACTTCCATAAAATTAAGAGACATGTAATCAGCGGTCAGAGATCCGATAAAATATCGTTTTTGGGAATGTATTTGATAACTTCAGGGTGTTTTATATAAAAAAAAGTTGAGTGTGCAAAATCAGAGTTCTATCACCACTGTGTAAAGAGTGAGCTCTCTTTGCCTGTGTATCTTCAGCAGGTAGTCCTCCATGGTCCTCCAGGTGTTCAGATTCACTCCAGATGTTCTGCGTCTTCAGTAAACAGATCCGCCAGGTCGGCCACCGTCAGAACGGCAGCCTCCGAGTGCTTCATGGTTGTGCTGGTGTGACTAGAATTTAAAATAAAAACTATTATCAGTACTTTCGTTCAGCTGTTAACCATCAACGCCCGCCTCTGAATTTATGGGTTTTAAATAAAAACATCAAAAGTACTGTTAACTTTATTCTTGCCTTTTGTCTGCAGTCTTCAGCATTGCCTGCATTCTCTCTTCAATGGTGGATTTGATGAGGAATCTGTGAACAAATGTTGGCCTGGCGGACAAAGACAACAGAAATTACGCGAAATGTACAAAATAGTGGAGGCACATGTCATTAAGTACAATATTAAAATTGATTTAAGCGATAAAACCTCAAACGCCAACAAATATTAAAAACTTTAACTGCATGTAGGTCGAAAACATCGACACATCTGTGTTTGCAGGTCTAAACTGCTGGAAAAGTTCATGATTAAAATACTGCTGTCCTCAGACAGACTCAACTCTCTGCGTCTTACTTGGTTTGGCCAATCCGGTGCACTCTGCCTATGGCCTGGAGCTCGCGAGCCGGGTTGAGGATTGGCTCCACCAGCAACACGTGAGTCGCCTCGATGATGTTCAGGCCATTGGAGCCGGTGTGGAGAGGAAGGAGGAGGATGTTGATGTTTTCTTCGTATTTGAAGGAGCACAGATTCTCCTGGAAAATTGAAGTCGGTACACTAATTACAAATCAAGTTAATTCTGGCGTGCGCTTAATTTGAGCTCATGATGTATTTAATACAGCAGTCTCTAAAGTAGATCTAAGGGGTTTTAATTTGGGTCTTAACATGGAATGCGCGGATAGATATTTTGTTACAGTATTGAATATTTTCATTTTTCATCCCGAAGCTACAAGCTTTCAGAGTTAACCCCCAAATCAGATAAAAGGGCCTCTGAAACTAAACCAGGATCACAAGGTGCCATAATGTAGCCCTTTTGTAATGCAGGGTGACTCATCTAAACTCTAGAAAATGCTTCTTTGATCAACAATTAAAAAAAATAAACTACAAATTGGTGATTGGAGTTTTTTTTTGTTGACTTTTTACATATTAGTTTCAGAGAGGAACCTCCACATAATAAGCTATGGTCAATATGAGTTGCAGATGTGAGATAATTATCTCTAGAAAGGAGGTTGCATTATTTAGATATATTATATTTCTCCTTCTGTCAGCAGGATATCTCCCAAACTTAAGAATGGATTTCCATGAACTGTCCAGACAAGATGGCCTTGAGGCTAAAGACAAAGGTAAGATACTCTAGGTACGTTTTTTTGTGTCACGTGAATTTTTAAGTGGTAAACCCCACCTGGTGTAGTTGTGTAGCACATTGAAGGGAAAAGCAACTATGTGGTTATGTGTGATATGCATTTCTTAAAAATGGTTGCAATGAAAACTCAAACCTGGAATTTATGAATCCCGTTGATTTGAGAGAACTCCATGTTGTTGTCAAACAAGGCCTTCGCAATGATGTCCAGGACACACAGCCACTGTGCAGGAGAGAACAACAGGAAACAACCTGGGTCAGATCCAAACTCCATATCAATGAAAGATGTGTGCTTTCACCCCTATTATTCATCCTCTACACAAATATGTGTCAGAGCAGGTATGAAAATAGGACCATCTTAAAGTATGCAGACGACTCTGTGAGGAGTGAGGAGTCCTATCTTCAATTAAACATATCTAAAACCAAAGACATGACAGTTGATTTTAGAAGACGAGCCCACACACATGAACTCATATCCACTAAGGGTCAGACAGTGGAATCTGTGCAATCATACAAATATCTTGGGACAATTATTGACTCAAAACTGAACTTTGAAGCAAACTGTGTAGCCGTGTGCAAAAAGGTGCACCAGCGTTAGTTTTGTTTGAGGAAACTCCTATTTCCACATTGACATTAACACCATGATGACCTTATGTTATCGTGCTTTTATTGAATCGATTTGATCTTTTTCTTTGGTGTCATGGTTTGGAAACCTATCTTTAAAGAACAGAAACTCTCTGTATCAAATTGTGAAATGGTGAGTCACAGCTTAACCCAGAGTCCCTGAACACCAGACAGTTGCAACGGATAACCGGCTCCATTTTAAAGGACTCCCCCCACCCTTTGCACAGGGAGTTTCAGCTTCTTCCTTCTAGACGGAGGTATACAGTCCCACGGTGTAGAACAAAGCGGTATAAAAACAGCTTTGTTCCAGCAGCCATCACTCAGGTGAACAAATTATAGCAACAGTGCACAGATGCTATAGAAACATTGTGTACTTATTTATTTATTTATTGATTGACTGATTTGTAGCCTTGTGTACTTTTATCATGTTTGTTTTGTTGTCTGTGTTGATTGTAATGTGTGTTGAGATGGATGCCCCGCCCTCTATCGCAAACCAAGTCTACCTCCGGGTACCAATAAAAGTAACCTGAACCTGAACCTGATATCATCAAAGTACATCACCATCTTACAGAGCGGCGATAGTTCACAGTTACCGTGGAGAAGACGAGACACTTGGCCCCGGGGTCGGCCACTTGAATCTTCTTCAGTGTTCTCACTACTGCCTCCACTTTGGTCGAGTGGCTTCCCTGACAAACACAGGCGGAGGGAAATTAGGCTACAGTGTTAATGTAAGAAAAAGTGGCCTGACCAAAGCTGTGTTAATTCACAATTAGATACATTACAAGGCATGAATCAAAGTATACTCCCATAAGAAGTGCAACTTTTGGACAATTAAGGCATTTCGACTGACCTTGACCGGTATGTCTTGGTCCTGGCTGGATGACTGGGTGGTGAACACGTAGGAGATCTCTGCGTGGGACGTGGTCTGCCTACAAATGGCACATTTGATAGCGCGCCGCCTCGAGCCCACGCTGTACTGCTCCACAATGATAGCAATGCACTCGTTGCAGAAGCAGTGGCCGCAGGTCAGCACTGCCCACTGGAGAAGAGAGACATTAATACACTTTTTCAGACTAGATGTTACTGCACTCCCTGGCCATAAGACTTTGAAGCTCCACCAGTGTATCAACAACCAGAGATGTTGCATAAAACACGGATACAAGTAGACTCTGTGAGACATTTAAAATCTCCCTCACAACTAAACAATGCTCACCTCTTGTCCCAGCGGCCGGGCACAGATGGGACATGGCTCTGGGTTCAGCCCTACAGTAGACTTGTCCTGGGACTGGAACAGAGGAATGCATGTCATTTGAAGTGGGATCACTCCACACAGTTTGAGATAAAGTCTCTGAATGAGCTGGGAAAGAGTGTCTGTACTTTGTAGCTACTATCAAATGTAAATTACCGTCTCCAGATTTGTGAGGTACAGAAACTGGCCAAGCTTCTTTTGGAGTTGAGACTTGGCCACCGCCTGGTCGTTCAAAAGCTTGATTCTGTTCTGCTCCACCTGGAAGCAAAACAACCGAGGGCAGGGGTCAGGAATGCAATAAAAATAGTTCAGGCAGGAATATTACATCCCTGGAAACATTCACAGACAAAATGTCCGATACTGGGTCAGAGGTTAGACTTGATCTTTTGATTCCTCCATCAACAGTTTGTTATTTAGGACTAAACCAGCCATATTACCTTCATGCTCATATTAGTGGAAAAATGTTAAAGAAAGTAAACCTTTACATGATTAGTCAGCCTGTTCGTTACATGAATTTCACTGCAGTTCATTGTGAAACAATGATCTACATTATACAACATAGAACTCTAATAAAGAGTTCGCATTAGTGGAAGCTGGTAGGAAAAGACTGCAAGCTCTGCATCCGGGTTACTGTGCTGCAAAGTGTACCAGATGGTCGCGTGAGCCTTCTTTAACATGTTGTTAAAATGTATGATAATAACATGTTTCATTGTGTTTAACTCACCTCATGTGGCTCGATGATGTGCAGTAGTTTGGGCTTTGGTTCATCGGGCAGACGCACACGTAGTCTCTCTGTCGCCATACCCAGCTCATCGATGGCCGACACGTGGTTCCTCAGCACCATCCAGTACTCGTGCAGCACCTGAGAAGGCACAGAGGTATCGTTCACTCCAGTCTGGTTCTCTCATTAGGATTAGCACTTAAAAGGGGCAATATGTATAAATATTTGAACAATATGACACTTGGCAGGAGGGTGATTGTTGATAAATGCCAATCTTTTAATGATTAATACACCAGCTGTGAGATTTCTGGCTTTCCTAACTCACTTTATAGCTCTATATACTTTAACAGCTAGAAGTAGTTTGTCATTCATTTAAGTAAATGGACACATATTTAGCAAAATAACTTAAACATTAATTCAACAATTTTCTGGTTTGGACTGACAGCTTATGATCTAATTTCAAATTTACAAACTGCCTCATGATCCTCTTTACAATTTACAACGGAGAACAAATGGAAAATAAAATGTACCATCGTATGTTTGTGAACCTCTCTTGACATTGCATCTCATGACTTTGTGCTTGCAGGCTTGCTTGAAAATGAATATGGTTTGTGTAGAAACCTTGTACTCTTTCTTATAGTTCTCAAACAGCTCCATGAAGGTGTTGCCCTCCTCCACCAGCTCCGGGTCCATGCGTTTAACTTTGGCAAAAGACAAGACGGCTTTCAGAGAGCGCTCCGTCTCACTGGCTGCCCACAGACCTCGGCTGGTAGTGGGGAGACGGTCGTCCATCAGCCCCTCTTCATCTTCAATCATTTCTTCAAAGATGGCCGTCTGACCCTTCACCCTGTTGGGTAATTTTTCTCATTAATCAACAGTTAAAGTTTTCATGCAATTTGACAGATAATTTAAAATATTGCTGTACTTACGTGTGAGAAAACAGCTTGGACTCATAATCGATGAAAAGCACATCCGCTTTGCAAAAAACACAACTTAAATATGACAAAGGAATACGAGTTAGAATTAAGAAACTAAAACAGGCACTGCCACAATTTAAAAAGCAGAGTTTCATGTTGTTGAGACTTATTAAACATTCGAAAGCTGTGATGAAATGTTACATTTTGTGTATTTTAAGTCAAAACAAGGCTAAAAATGCTGATGTCTCACTTATTGAGTGGCAGTCTCATCGGCCTGAGGTGACAAATGGTGACCTCGTCGATCACTTTCTTTGAAGCCGGGCCTTCGAGACTCTTCACCGCGTCTTGCACGGTCTTTTGGGATTTCATCAGATCTTGCATTTGAGTGGCGAGTATGAACTGCAGACCACAAGCATCACGGAACCTGCAGGACACCACATTTTGCTTTTATCACATTTAGTGTAAAGACAACTATTAACTTTCATCCTAAAATAAATTCACAGTTTACTTGTCTGCCATGTTGAGCTTGTTGGCTTGTTGTTTGTAGCTGGACGTCAGCTCATTCTTGATGCGGGACACCAGATCGTCGTCATTGGAGCACCGGATTGCCTTCTGAATAACTTCCAGCCACCAGGGAGTATTCAGGTTGACCTTCAGAGAGAAAGCCAATCACGTGTGCAGAAAATATGTTTTTGGTTCCGTCTTAATTGCAGTGTTACTCCAAATACAGATCAATCTGACTTCAGTGTGTCAGATATCAAACCATGTCTAGACTCAAACTCTAAACAAAAGTAATTTCAGCTATTAAATATTCTCATTCATTGAATCAGAAACTAAACTCAAGTTCGAGGTAATGTACCTAAAGAGTAGATGTAAAGAAGTTCTCACTTTGTGTTTCAGCTCTTTGATGTTCTGGAGCACCGGCTGCAGAGCCTGATGGGCGTCTGCTACCTCAGAGTCGTATTTGGTCATGTAGTGCTGTCGCAGCTGCTCCGCCTACAGAGACACGGAGAGTAAAAGCAGAGGCCGTTCTTAGAAATAATTATAAAATGGATACGGTTTATTACTGAAACTAACAAATGTATTATTGGAATAAATGTGTTCTGCCTGAGAGAAATATTCATGCTTACCTCCTCACTCAGTCGGTCATCTCTCAGTGTGGGAGGTATCCCAGGATGCTTTGCGCTCAGCAGCTCCATCACATTGTGGGTAGCATGAAGTCTCTATTTTACCACAAAAACAAAAAAGACATTTTAATATAAACTTGCAATCCATAAACTATAATAGTTTTTAATTAGGATCAAAAACTTAAAGACTCTCTCTTGTCAGATGGCGTCTGATTTCAGAAATGAGACCCTTCATATGTTAATCACAAACATGAGTAAAAGACATGAATGAGACCACATACCTGTAATGAATCTGTTTTCAGTCGGCCTTTGTGCTCCTCTGATGAACGAAGCACTTCTCTATACATCTCCGTCGCCTCTACGAACTCATCTGCGGGGTTGGCAAAGGAGGCAGCGATTAGAATTGACACTCAACACGTCCCGTCACATGTGCAGTTAATGAGACACAAACCAAGCAAGTGCACTCAGCCACGTTATACATATCGCCTTACTGAGACACAACGTCTCGATACACAAAGATGAGATGGTGTCTTGTGTTCTGTTTGAAATGATTCCCATGGGAAACCGGGAGCACAAGTGGGGTTTCATACCTCTGATGATGTGGATTCCAGCCAGGCCATTGAGTGCGCACACCAATTGTCTGTGGGCTTCTTCACACTCCACTCGACATTTCTTCTGCAGGGACTTCAGTAGCTCCTCCATTGTCATGGTGCTGTGGAGGGGGAGACAAACCCACTCAACAAACCCTCCAATGCAAATCACACAGAATGGGTCAACTTTAAATAAACACAGCTACACATTGTATAACTGAAAAAAGGTTGCTGTGGTCCATTACCGTTACTAATGATGTGATACTCCAATTAGTCTAGCTTGGTTGTTAATTAACCGTTGCAGCTGCCTTCAGATAAAGGCCTCTCTTCTCGCCTGCGAGCGCCTTGAAAACATAATACCGAGTGTCGTCTACCTTTTCTGCAGAGGCAGGAACTCCCCCCTCACAGCCTGCGGATGGCAGCAGGCCTGACGCAGCCTCAGCAGCGGGCACAGGATGGTGTGGACGGTGCGGCGGTCGAGGCTGCCAAGTTTCAGGCTCCAGTCGGAGATTTTCCTGAGTTTGACCAGAGCGTCCTGGGAGCAGACCTCGTGCTGACGGTGGTAGAAGTGACCCTCGACGGGGGAGAAGTGAAGCCAGTGCACCTCCTCCGTCTGAGGGGGAATCTGGATCTGGAAGAACAGAGAACAGATAAGAAGGAACTTAATTAATCCCGATGGGACATTCATGTGTCAACAGTAATAGAGTAAGAACATAAACATATACAAACAATAAAGTAATAAATATTGAGTGTACAACTAAGCTAAATTCAGTAAAATAAATAAATAAAAACAGTAACCTGAACTACATCTTCTGAAATTAAACAGTGTTTCGTCATTATTCAAATATTTCTGACTGCTAGAGATTCTTTAAATAAGTAAAACTGATGTTTACATTTTGATAATACAGAACTTCTGTTGTACTACCTGATCAATGACGTCTTTTTTAGCCGATCGCCACAATAATTGAGCAATTACGTTGTACAGCGGCTCTGTGTTTCCACGTCGATAAGGCTGATAAAGGAGCTGGTCCCACCAGTGTTTCACCCAGTATGGGTCAACTCCCAGGAAAAGCACGAGGCCGTACAGATCTGTGCAGAAAACATCCGTTTACAGAGTCAATCTGTTGTTTTAATAATTTCTAAACATTGTTTATAGTCTTAAATCACAGAGCCTCGTATTGAAGGCCTGCTTTGATATGTAATGATTTTTTGGGGGGTTTTACCTTCTAAGCCTCTCTGGACAGGAGTGCCACTGACACACCAGCGGTTGACAGACGCGAGGCGTAGAGCCATTTCTGCAGCCTGACGGTAAAATAAAAAGGGAGCATAAACAAAGTTCCAATCGGTCCAATAAACCGAAATAAAACATTATATTAAACATAGTTTGACATTACACATGAAACATACGAATATATAAGATTTTATTCACAACTTTGATCAGGATAAATATGGTATTCGGATATAGAAATAAGCTCAGTCACACATAAAATCCCAAATGCTTTCTTGTAACTGCGGCTTTTTTTTTTTTTTTTTTCTGTATTCCCTTCAACTCGCCTTCGCAGTGGGACATTCGACCATCTGAGCCTCGTCCAGACAGATGCGCCACCACTCCACAGCCACCAGAGGACTGGGTATGGCCATGTAGCGCTTCTGGTTGCGGAAGCGGCGTCCGTCCTTGCTGTTGCTGTGGGGAATGTCGACGTAGTTGAGCTCCGACCGCAGCACGTCGTAGGTGGTGATGACCACATCGTGCTCAGCGAGCGCATGTGGCTGGATGAATCCATGCTTCTTCACACCCTGATAAACCTGAGATTAAGACGGTATGCACATTAGCAAAGTAGTTCAAGCCAAACAGCTTTGAGAATGCATGAGAGATAAGAGGAGCGTCCATGATATATTTGATAAATATATGTAGTTTTAGTGATAATTTAGGACAGTGGTCAGGAAGAAAAGCAACATCGCAACATGTGCCACCAACTTTGGATTGCCCAGATGTTAATACGCGACATTTCTACCCTGTAGATAAAACATCCACCCAAAGACTCGTACATCCATCTACTTCCTCACCAGCACTCGCAGTGAGGACGACCTGATGTGCCGGTTGATCTCCTCCACCCACTGGTGGCAGATGGAGCTCGGGGAGATGATGAGGGTGGCACCGGTGGAGACGGGTTTCATGGCGACAAGGCAGTGAGGGCAGTAGAAAGGTGTGGTCTCCAGGCTTTCTTCTTTATAGTTCACACAGTCTGCGTGCTGCCACAGCTGGCAGTTCATACACTGGACGCGGGCCTTGTAGTCAACAATGCCCAGCTCACCACAGATGCACTCAAAGCGGTAGTCCGGGGTGTTGAACGGGACAACGGACACCCTGGTTTGGGTTTCTATCTCCTGTGATTCAAGCCGAGGAGCTTCCCCCCTTTCTTCACGTAGATCATCAGTTCTGGGTAAGTCCTGTGTGTCGGACTCCCTTTTACCCTGAGACATCTGTAAGGCTGCGGTGTCATCCAGCGTGTCATCCGACTGATCTGCTGTCCTGTTCAGACTTTCATCCCATTCCTTCGTTGTTTCCGTCTCCTCTGTTTCTAGACAGTCCGATGCCGGGGAGTACGGATCTCTTTGATCTCCTGTAAGAAGAGAGTTCTGCAGAGCTGCTTCTGCCTTCTCTTTTGCCCGTCTCTGAAACATTCTCCTGGGCATGCTCTCTGTGTTTTTGGAGTTCTAACCAAAAAAAGAGATCAGACAAAAGTTCAACAACACAAACAAGTATTGACAGACTATTTGCAGCATCAAACGTTTGTATTTGAAGCTCTTTATTCTTACAGACTTGGATGCTCCTGCTGATGTCTTCTTTGTTTCTTTGTAGTTCTTTCCCAGTTTAAATGACCCAGCCAAGCCACGACCCTTGACCCGGTGGACCAGGCCTTCATCTATCAGCTTCGCCATCGTCTTCTTCATGTGGTTGCGGTTCTTTAACAGGTCATAACCGTAAGTGGCACGGATGTAGGTGAAGATGGCTTTGACGGAGGCTCCTTTGCCAGACCTCATCTCCTTGATTGCAGTGAGGAGCATGACACGCACAGCTGCATAAAAACAAACAGATTCGTTTAAAATATTTAAATCAAACTGCAGTGATGTTAGAGAGGACGGTGGGCGACATACTTGGGTAGGATATTTTCATTTTAGGCAGAACTTCAGACTTGCAGTGGATAATTTTCTTCCTCTCCAGAGGAGGAGGAGGTACGAAATAATTTACGGATTTTCCCTGCAAGACCAAAAGAGATTAAACATTTTCACAATGACGCCGTCTTTACAGAGCATATTAGAATGAATAGAACAGTAGACAAAAATCCTACATTGTATGACTGTTAATAATCATCCATGGAGATAATATGGTGAAGGTTAAGAGAGAGAAATAAAGTGAAATTCTGTATTTTTAACTGTATCCTCACCACAGGCAGGGTGAGGGCCTCCTGCTGCAGGTCCTGTCGCGTGTGAAACAGGATGAGAGCCAGAACTTCCACCGTCTTTCCCAGCCCCATTTCATCAGCCAAGATCCCACCGGGCCACTCCACACCCGCCAGGGGAAACTCTCGGAGGAGGCTGAAAAATAAAAGAACACAACTGCTGAAAAGAATACTTAAATGTATCACTAAATAACTCCTCAAAATCACAGCAAACGTAAGATAACCAAAATAGCAAATGACAGGGTCAGTTTAGTCAAATTCAAAAAGACATATTTTCCCCGTTACCTCTAATGGTATCTATCCATGCAGATACGTTTTGGTTTTATGTGCTGAGCTTTTGAGATATCAGTTCATGACACTTTAGGGATGAATGGAACTTGTGGTCCTCAAAGAAGTGAAAAAATGCTTATAAAAATGTATAAGATGTGTTCAATCCTCAGCACATAAAACTGAAACAGTCTGCCTGGGCAGATAGTTCTGGTGGTAAGATAGAAAATATGTTTTTGTGATTTAACTGACCTGTTAACATTCAAGTTCTTACCAGCCGGTAAAAGGGTTGTAGAACAACTTCTTTCCACACAAAGTGATCAACTCCCTCCAGAGGAAATGCAGAATTTGTTCTGCAAAGAAATGGGAAATATTGACACAGCTATCAAAGTCCAATCGTAGGCCTTTTTCACTACAGGAACTTCAACTTTGCTTTGTTTTCCACTGTACTCTGCCAGTGTTGGTAGTGAGTTCCTGAACCACTAGTGCAGCCCCATTCAGCATCATCCTAACTTTCAAAGTTTCGGAGCGCAGCAGTGTATTGCCGTACCAGACAAGAAGTGAGTACCTTTAGGTGAAGCGTTCCTGTATTTCTCTCTCTTCAGCATCCAGTTGACGGCCTGGCTCTGATAGGGTCTGAGAACAGGAATGAGAGCCTTGTGCTGGACGTCATAGGTCTCCTCCCGGCTCTCTCTCTGGTGTAGGTGCCTGACGAAATCATAGAGCTCCTCCACATTTTGCCTCTCCAGGTCAGTGTCACAGTCCTCCTCCTCATTCTCTACAACGTCTACATGGAAAATACAGCAGAGGAATCAGTTTTTTATGTTTTGGAGAACTTGGACGCACAGGAAGCATTAAACATTAGCACCAGACCCTTTACCGGGGATAATGAAATCGTAGAAATACTCCATTAACTTCTGCATTAGTTGATTCGCTTTCTTCATCCGAGCGTTTCCCTCGCTGAGGAGCTCCGGCTTCCCGAGCCCAGTTTCCAGCAAGTAAATCCCCACCTAAAGCAGACAGACAACAGCTGATGGAAGAAATGCCTCTTTTTCATTACTGCTGTGGAAACATCTGTCTCACACAGCCAAATAAACTGAGGATTAACTGCATATGTATTTATGGTAATACTGTATATCTGATGATGAAGAAAGTAAAGTAATTAGTCATAGTTTTCATTCCATCCTCTCTGCAATACCTTCATACCTTGACTGACCCCTCTGTGGCCTGGTGGCAGAGCTGCACCACCCTCCTCTTCTGCATCCAGTCGAGGTCCTCCAGCGGGATCACACGGAGGCTGCAATCCACTGTGCACGTGTCCTCGTCAGGCCTCCACTGCAGTCCTGAGCTCTCGTCGCAGCTGCTGTAACTGAGGCAGAGCTGGTCCCCCATCCTGTGGAGCACGAAAGCTCTCTGTTCACAGTCCGACGGGATCCAAGCCGGCCGGACGGCGAACTCCCCGATGAGCGCCTTCCAAATGTGGCCCGGCTTCAAAGCCGGCTCCACGGTGAGGGCCAGGGAGGCTGAGGCAGAGGTGCTGTCCGACGACTTGCCGGGAAGTTCCTCCGTAAGCCGCACAGAGCTGGTGCACGCAGCCTCCACCACGTCCTCGGAGGTGGAGAGGAAGGAGCTGCTGGGAGGAGGGTCGATGGGAAGAATGGAGCAGGTCGGTGTCTGGTCGTCGTCCTCCTGGATCTCCTCGTTCTTGCGGTCGTCCAGCATGTTCCAGTTCAACCTCTTCTTGGCGTCTTCGTCCACCCTCACAGGAGGGGCCTTCTTTCTCCGGCTGCTCATGGTTACACTCTACACAGAAAGCACAAATTCATTGTTAATTACTAAAGTTATTCTTAGATTATTTTATTGGGTTTTTGGATTTTTTGAATTAGTTTTACAACACAAAAAAGTAAACCGAAAAACAAAAAACACAAGTGTTTCTCATCATTTGACCCCTCAGATTTTCATCTTGGGACCCTTTGGAGGACCAAGAACACCAAGTTGAGGAACTCTAATACACATACTGTTTTACTTTACAAAATAAGATTATTTAGATAGTAGCTATTTATTTCAACTGAGCGTTTAGCCTGTTTCCACCACAGGGACTTGGTCGTCTTGTGTACCTGGCTCTGGTTCAGATTGCTATCTAGCTAACAGGTATATCCGCTTATTGACGAAATGGCGAATAAATAACAGTTTGAAAATCTTCCCTCTCCTTTCGATGAAAGTTTTTTTTTTTTTGGTCCAAAGAAAGCAGGTTTGTCATTGTATGAACACTGTTCTCGTTACACGATGAAAACACTTTCTAGCTGTCTGGCTGCGTATTTTTTTTACCGTTTGACTATAAAACAAGCGTATGAAAACGTGCAGATTTACTTTCAGAGGCTTCCACACACGGATCTGGTTTCTATCGCTGCATCAGAAGTCGTTTCAGGTCCCAGCAGCTCCAGATAATCAGGCTGACTTGCACCAAAACACACCTCATTCACCTAGTCTAATGTTGCTGTTCGCCATTTTTTTATAAACAGGAAGTGACGTCAGAGCAGAGGGATATCTTCAACGGCTACGTCAAATGTACTAACGTTACTTTTATTTGTTTACTATGTGAGTAATGATGAGTAAATACAAGTAGTACATTTTTATTCTCACATTTTTACATATATTTTTTAAATTTCTGGTCTCATTTTGTTTTGCTTTCAACCTACTTTTAGCGTTTTTGATAAAAATAAGGTAAAAATGTCCTGATTTTATTTTCATTTTTTTTTTCAATACTCTGTTAAGAAACCATCAAAATTCTCCAGCAGCTAATTATTGAGGATTATTGTCATTACATCTTATTTCAACAGTATTGATTTCTATTGATGAATAAAGTTTTATTTAAAAATCATGCTGCAGGCGCAGTATCTGGTATCAGCCACACGGTGGCAGCAGAGCACGAGATGTTTACGGCTGCAGCGGCGAACTGCAAGCGCATCACATCTGTCACTGACAGCCACGACGCAGTGGTACTAATTACGTGAAGTTTGACCAGTCTCTTTACACTTTTCATGAGGATAATTAACAACCTTCCACCTCACATAGATCTGATATATATATATTTCCTATTCAGGTTACCAGCTCTCCCTCAAACGGCTACCTTCCCCCCATGTACACTTGCAACAAAAATGCCATTAATCGGTGTTACATTGTCTGAGACATCCTCCTGACGTGTAAGGGTTGTGGCTCCAAATCAGGGGCACTGCAGTGAGTGTGACCCGCTTTCAAGATGCAGTGAGGAAGAGGATAAGAAGGGGGCACCTCAAAATCAGTAGGCTACAGAGGGAGGGAGAGAGAGAAGGGGGGAGAAAGATAGAGAGAGTCAGTCCCACAGTGTTTTCTCGGCAGAAGAGTCCAGTCTGGCTGCTTCAGAGGAGACCCGCTATGTCTGGTGCAGGTAGGTAACGTAACGTCAGTTATTAGGTGTTTTGCAGACTCAGTTGACTTAATACGGCAGCGTTTTCTTCGTCTGCTCTATTAATTAAGCTTCGCCCTTTTAATTGGGATGCATGTGCATGCTGTAGGTAGGTGACGATGTTGAAAATGTGACACAGGCTGTGGAGCTGCGACTGAGGAGCTATAGCGTGAGCTGACAGACGGTGAAAAATAGTCTTCAAACGAAGCACCTCGCGGTGTCCTTGTGTGATGCTTTCAGGGGTAAAAGTTGAAGAAACAGTCGCAGGTTGAAATAGATCAGCTTGCATGAACGAAATCAGCTGAGAGATGCAGGCAGCTGTCTGTGGTGCTGAAACTCAAAACGTTCCCTTGTTACAGAGGTAACTTTTTATCTCTGAGATCTAGATCTTACTGTCCTCAAAGCTTGTCATTGATGATCACTGCTGATATCAATTGTTTTAGCTTCCACCCTGTAGATCACAGCATACTTTAATGCAACAGGACTCCAATAAATTTGCCTTTTTGCATGTTTTTGATGCAACTTTTATGTACGATTTTATGTATTATTTGTGATTAGAAGACGAGGGAGGTGTTATGACTTTTAACATTTTTAGATTTGTGTGTGTGCATGTGTGTGTGTGGGGTGGGTGGCTTATTGTCATCAATTAATCTTAATTATCTTGAATTTACGTTTAATCTTGTTGCAAATAGACTGTCCGAGGATAGGAAGAATTGAAAAAAAAGCTGAATGTGATGTATTCAAATTATTTGTTTTGTCCAACCAACAGTCTAAAACACAAAGATAGTTAGTTTACTATCATAGATAACAAAGAAAATAATTAAATCTAGTTCAAAATTGAGAAACTGGAACCAGACAAGGTTTGTATGAAGGCTAGACATGTGTGCAAAACAGGAATTAATGCTCCACGTCTCTCATACAGGTTGACAATCTGAAGAAGAAGCAGTTCATTTCCATTTTATCCAAAACGTGGATTGATGGACCTCCATTATGGCAAAGTGGACATGATTCTACATTCAGCAGCTGTGGCACAATGTCGAATATGATTTACCTGACTGCCATAAGCATTTTACTGTTTGGGGCTTTCGTGTTGTCTAACGGCAAGTATGAGAGGTCAGCGGTGCCGAGCTCAGCCTCTCGCCTGGTGGCGAGGATGGACGGGGATATTATAATCGGTGCCCTCTTCTCTGTTCACCACCAACCATCAGCCGAGAAGGTGGCAGAGAGGAAATGTGGAGAGGTCCGAGAGCAGTACGGCATCCAAAGAGTGGAGGCCATGTTCCACGCCTTGGATCGGATTAACTCGGACCCGAACCTGTTGCCCAACATCACCCTGGGCTGTGAGATCCGGGACTCCTGCTGGCATTCGTCGGTGGCTCTGGAGCAGAGCATCGAGTTCATACGAGACTCTCTCATCTCCATCCGGGACGACAAGGACGGCTCCAGGTGGTGCATCGAGGGGGTTCCCTCCAGCCAGCCGCCATCAACCAAGAAGCCCATCGCGGGGGTCATCGGGCCCGGCTCCAGCTCAGTCGCAATTCAAGTTCAAAACCTCCTGCAGCTGTTCAACATCCCGCAGATTGCCTACTCTGCAACCAGTATCGACCTCAGTGATAAGACATTATTTAAGTACTTCCTCAGGGTGGTGCCCTCAGACACTCTTCAGGCCAGGGCCCTCCTGGATATCGTCAAACGGTACAACTGGACCTATGTGTCTGCAGTGCACACAGAGGGTAAGACACATTTGATTTGGTATTGCACTTACATAAAGTTGGGGGACTCACAAGGGACAGATTATAAAGAGAACTCCCAAAATTGAAGCAGCAAAAGTACCCTAACTTTAAGTCTGGGCTAAGCTCCAAAAACACTGGCTCTTACATCTCCCATGATGCAACTCTATAGCCCCTTTCTTTGACCCCTCGCTGCCACCCACATCTATAGTTTTGAATACAGAAACACAGAAGACATTATACAATTGTTTTTCCCATGCTGAGTAACAGTAAACTAAACTTCAGGTGTAAAATCAAAAGCACTGCCTCTTTCTAAAGGAGCTGATTTAACATTCTGATAATTAATATAGCAGAGATATAAAGATATAGTGGAGTAAAGTCTACCTGAGCAGAGATGTAAGTCACTCTCCTTCTGTGTGTGTTGCTATTCTCCTTGCTTTGGTTACATAGCCGGGCCGACTGCTCGTGCTTTTAGTGCATGTGAGCGAGCATTACTGGTTAGCTCGTTGCTGCCAATCTGCACTGCTCTCATACAGCTGATTACAGCTGATAACGCGGTACCGTAGTAGCACCCACTCACTCAACAGCCTTGTCGCTGTAGTTTGCACTGTTAGCGCTGTTAGCACCGTTAGCTGTTAGCCCCCGGCTCGCTGTCGACATGTTGAGAGCCATTGAGAGACAATGGAAATGCTCCCAATCTTGGATCTTCTTCAATGAATCAACAGTCCCGTCTTTGTGGCCTTATTTCCAGCAAGCAGGAAATTAAAGACAAGACGGTCCATCTTAGAAACTCCTGGCAGCACAGAGGCAGGAGCTCATAACCGCCTCTGCTAGCTCAGCACAAATATAAATTAAATGTTTTGTTGTGTGAATTGCTTTTGTAGACTAATGTTTTCACAGCTGGTGGCTGCAGACAGCCGTGTACTCCTTTGTGAGGCTCATCTCCATGATACTCATATAAATAGAGGTTCAATTTGAGAGGATGAAAGAGAACACGGTGTCCTCTTTTGTCTCGACTGTAGAGGTCCTTCCTTTTTATGCATCAAAGTCCACAAAGGCCAATTGCAAATAGACACAAAATACTTTTTCTGTTCTTTTCTCTTCATCGTCAGTTTTGCCGTCAGGTGCTTTACTTTGTTGCTCCTGCAGGTATCACCTACTGTTGCAACTATTGCTTGAAAACAAATGATCAATTATTCAAACGCCCGATTAACAGTTTGAGTAATTTTTCATGCAATTTTGACAAACCTCTGTTTTCAGGATCCAAAATGTTAGACCTGTCTGTTTTATCTCCGAGTAAACTAACAGTATTTGGGTTTTGGATTGTTGGTCGATCAAAAGCAACAATTTGGAGCTTTTACCTTTGGGGACCATGTGATATATCTTTCAGTATTTTGTGACATTGTAAAGACAAAAACAATGAATGAATTAAAAAGATAAAGAAAATAATTACTGGTTCCAGCCCTTGTTGCAACCTGCATTTGATTTGCATACAAATATGTTACAGGACACAACGGACCACTTGAAACCTGAAGGAAGAGATGTTTTGTCTCAGTAAGCCGTCCTTGAATAAATTAAGTTCAAACCATGTTCAACGTTTAAACCATTTGGATGCTGAATACAGACTGAATCTGTGAATAAAAAAAAACATTGATTCTTTCCAAAATGAAACCCACCAAACGGCTTCTCTCCTCTTTCTCAGGTAACTACGGTGAGAGTGGGATGGAGGTGTTCAAAGAGCTCGCCTCACAGGACGGACTCTGCCTCGCCCACTCTGACAAGATCTACAGCAACGCCGGGGAGAAGCACTTTGACCGGCTGCTGAGGAAGCTGCGTGAGCGTCTGCCTAAAGCCAGAGTGGTTGTCTGCTTCTGTGAAGGCATGACGGTCCGAGGGCTGCTCATGGCCATGAGACGGCTCGGAGTAGCTGGAGAGTTCCTCCTAATTGGCAGGTTGGTTAGCGATTCTTTCCCCCACGGGAGTTTCCTGTTTTGTCCGGCAGGTTGTTGTTGTTGTTGTTTTTTCTTGGAATGAGAAGTTTTCTCATTGATGGAATGAATTCTCTCATTTTTTAAGTCTACAGTGTCTTTTAAGAAGATTTTAATGGCCATGAAACTCATCCGACACAATAATCATCAGGAGAACTAAACTGAAAGTAGAAATAAAATAAAAAAACAGAAACAGCTGTGAGTGCCACATGGATTAACAACATTTGTGTCAATAATGAAGATAATTGTAGTCTCAATCTCAACAATCTAGCTCCATTTAGTGGCTGTTTCTTGAGCTTTTGATCATATCATGTCTCTGGGTAGACGGAGGTTGCTTAGTTGTTGCTTTTTCTGAGCACTTTAATGACTTTTCATCTATTTCTGACATTGAAAGTTCATTCTTGACCTCTTGAACCCTCGGCCTCTGGCTCAGGCTCCTGTTTCAAAATGACATGCCCAAACTGAACTCTGCAACTACACGGTCTATTTGAATGATCTTGGTATCATAATAAAGGTAACACTTGTGCATTATATGTTACTGGATATATGTAAATGAAGATAGAACTCAGCATAAATGAAGGATTTTATCTCAATCTAACAAAACTGTACATGTTTACAATGAATATCCCTTTAGAATGATGCAGTTGTAGCACAACACCTCTTGCAAACCAAATCCAAACATCTGAACATTACCTAAAACAGCACAATTTATGGTTATGGATGTTTAAAGGGATGTTTATTTTTATTCTACTTCTGCTGCTGGTTCAGTGAGTTGTGGTCGCTGTCTCAGCTTTCATAATGATATTGTTTGTGCAGGTAACGTTATGCGTGTCAGCCTGTTTTTGCTGTGTGCTCATTTATTTGCTTGGTGTTGGAATGGAGTTTCGTTTTAGGGTATGCAGGATGAATATGTTGCTACATGGTTAACTGCATGTCCTAACTGGTGTTTGTTGAGATGTGCGCAACTGGGGCACTCGGGTTCAAGAGGTTTTAATTGAAACTCAGTCAACACAATAAAGAACTTGCAAATTGAAAGTTTAAGTAAGAAACTCTCACGGGACTTGAATGTGTCTGTGGACTTTCCTTTTTTTTCTTGTTTTGTAAGTACAGTGAGCACTCCACGCCCCTCAGCGGGAAGGCTGAAAGGAAACAAAGTCAGAGGTTTCTGCAGCATTCAGTGTGAGGCTTGTTAGTGAGGCTGCATGCAGCTTCAAACACAACACTGTCAGAGACTTCTGGAGCTTCACCAGCATCATAAAACAACTGTTTTCCTTTTGTCAGATGCAGACTACTGGTTGTTACTTGTTATACCATTTTTATGAATTTGTTTGCAGCCAAAGGATTTCATATTATTTGACTTGAAATGAGGTCTATTCATTTTGAGTGAAATTGTTGTGCAGCAGTTGCAGTGCAAAGTAGGAAAGAGTGCAAATATAAAGAGCGTAAATGAAAATATCAATAAACCAATACACATGCCAAAAATATAAACAAGGGTAACGGTGAGCATCTTAAGTTGCTCATATCTCAAGTTGCTAATAGCTGTGAGAGCTTTTTCTGTTTGTATCTTGCAGACCTCTCAGCCAACATGAGCCTGTCATTTTTGACATCAGAAGGTCCATTAAGTAGCTGTTCTTGAGCTTTCATTCGTACCGTATGAGGGAATAATTATTGTATCCGCGTAATTCAAAATTATCATAACTTCAGCTATTTCTCCCTCATTTTTTGACATGATATTTGGGGAGATATTGAAGATAAATGTAGTTGACCACAGGATCCTTTTAGCTGTTTTGGAGCTTTCAGTAGTATCACATGATCTTCCCCAGCAGATGGAGTTGGGATTTCCATTTTTCTGAACACTTAAAGGACTTTCCCTCAAGAATTGCTGTGAAGTTGAGATTGAAGGTACATTTTTGTCCTTGGAAATAAAAGTTGACAAAACATTCTTACTTCAAGCTCCATTTAGTAGCTGTTATGGAGCGTTTGATCATTTCATATGCAGTGATAGATAATAATAATAATAATAATAATGACACTAATAACAATATTTTAAACGCATTAAAACGTGAAATGGTACTATTTTCCAGTAAAATTACACCATAATCCTCCGCTGCTCAGGATGGATGGTATACACAAAGTTCATATGGAACCGAAATATTCATTTTTCCTTCTAGGAGAGTTCCTCTGAAAGCAGAAGATGCTTTGAGTCAGGCTCAGTAATGAATAATGCATCCACGCAGCGAGCTCTCCCTCTCCCTGTCAGATCACAGGCAGGATGGGCTAATATGGGACAGCACCTCCAGCATGAGCTGGGGAATGAGGAGCAGTGAACATCAAAGCTCATATCAGCACTTATACCAGACATTCCCTCTTTGTGGAGTCTCAGCTCACCTCAAGTCCTGTTAGGAGTAGCTGCTGCACCTGAAATAGCCTACGATAAAAGCTACGGTTCATTTACTGAGAGCGGTTCATTAATTTGTGGCTACTTTATTCACAAAGGCTGATGAGAGTGAGTTAAAAAAAAACCTTCTTCTCAACCCAAATGATGAAATGCACGTCTGAAAAAAAGGGAGTTTAAACTTTCTCTCACCCCTTCCACTTGAATTTGCACTGCTGCTAAAGTCTCCACGGAAGATAAAGAGGGCGCGAGTTTGGCAGAGGGGTGTGTGTGTGTTTCTTTTTCTGGGTCAAGGAGACTACCGAAAAAGGAAAATGTTTTTTAGAACGATGCAGTAAGTGAACACATGCAGCTCTGTGCAGTGGGCCAGTCGAAAAAAAATGCCTGGGGCGCTGGTCATCAGCCATCCGTCTTCTGCTGTGTGCAGGATGAAAGAAATGTCTGTTCTCACACCAACAGATCCCACACATCTCAAACAAAAGACAACTCATTTGATCGACCCCTCGACTGAAATGACAAAAGAATATATCAGTTTTATCATCCTGTGGTTGACAAACGGTTGACTCCTAATCTGCTTTGCTTTGAACATATCTTCTTCTTTGTTCATTTCATAAAACACAATTCAGTTCACATAAATACCCTGCTAGTACTTTTACTAATGTCTTGTGACAATGTCTCCTTCCCTCAAACTAAATGATTCATGAATATGATATGTACAGTATGTGTGTGTGTGTGTGTTGACGTCAGGGATGTAGGGTTTTGGCACTGGAGGGACTGTGATGCTGAGAAGCAGATGGCCAGGTACTGTTGATACTGTCTCACTGGACAGCCATTGTCAGTTTATTCTTGAAGTGCCAGCCAAGCCAAACGTGCTATTGGCTTCGGCTTTTCTTTGCCAAATGTGGGTTTTTGAAGGCTGGTAACTGATATTTGTTCTGCCTCAAATGTGTTTGTGTCGTTGCAGGGTGAAAAAGCATGTGAGGCAGCATTTGAGATATGCCTTTAATGCTGGGTTAATGTTAACATTGTCAGTATTCTAAATAAATACATAAACAATGATGAGTAGATGTAATATTCACCACCTTAGAGTATGTCAGGGGATCAACAAAGATATCTATTATATATATATACAGTATATTGTAGCCAGAAAAAATGATGTATATTGTTTTATAATATTCAGTGTGTTGCCGCATTCTAGGGAATTGTTTTTGGGCGAGATCATCCTTGAAACGATGCTGTTCATCTCTCCTGTTCTCCTCCTTCCTTTCTCACTCATGCATGTAGAGTTTTCAAACACTTGCATCACGGATGCTGAGAAATACTCAAATGAAGGGAGCATGTGTGTCATCAGCCTGATCTTTTGTGAGAGGATTCAATGCAGAATTGATTTTCAAATAGACGAGCATGTGAACTATAAATACAAACTATGAATATCGGAGAGAAAAAGAATCACACCAAAGTGTCTGTGTGGAGGGTGGAAACTCGTTTCTCTCGAGGGCAGATTGTGCCGCCACAGTACTAAGCTGCGAATTCTCACCGGACTTGTGATTGTGTCTGTGGAACGGGGAGACCTTTTTTCTTTTTTCTTGGTTCGGCAAGTACAGTGAGCACTCCACGCCCCTCAGCGGGGAGGCTGGAAGGAAAACAAAGTCAGAGGTTTCTGCAGCATTCAGTGTGAGGCTTGTTAGTGAGGCTGCATGCGGCTTCAAACACAACACTGTCAGAGACTTCTGGAGCTTCACCAGCATCATACAATAACTGTTTTACTTTTGTCAGATGCAGACTATACTGGTTGTTACTTGTTATACCATTTTTATGAATTTGTTTGCAGCCCAAGGATTCATATTATTTGACTTCAAATAAGATAACTGTAACTTTATTTATCTTGAGGGAAATTGTTGTGCAGCAGTTGCCGTACAAGGTACGGAAATATAAATATCAATAAACAGATATTTGGAATATATTTAGTTCCGGGTTGATAAAAAAGACTGTCGATTGATTCCAGGATGGTGGAAACAACAAGGACAATATAAAAGCTTTCTTTTTAAATTAAAATACAAAATTATAGAAAGTACCACCATAATATAAAATGTACTAATAATAAGACTTGGAATTCGTGAATTTGGGTTCACATGATATAACGCAAGCAAGGACATACAGTTCATCATTTCCAACTATGATGGTTTGAAAAATCTTTTAGAGTTCTGTAAAGGACCTACTGGGTTCCTCTCAGGTCACAAGTTTAGCCCTGTGACTCAAATGGTAATGTTAACGCTTGAGAGGCACAAACTGGTGCTATGCCAGTGGTACTATTTACAGTGTGTTGCTCTCCCTGCAGTGACGGCTGGGCGGACCGGGTCGAGGTGGTGGAGGGATACGAACAGGAGGCCGTGGGCGGCATCACTGTGAAGCTGCAGTCTGACGAGGTCTCCTCCTTCGATGACTACTTCCTGAAGCTCAAGCTCAGCACCAACACCCGCAACCCGTGGTTCTCCGAGTTCTGGCAGTACCGCTTCCAGTGCCGCCTTCCCGGCCACCCGCTTGAGAACCTGAATTATGCGCGAAACTGCTCAGGTAGCTAAACAATTCGTCATGCAATTGTGATGTTTCCTGCAGTTTTTCTGGTTTACATTTTTACGCCAGCGTGCGCATCAGCTTGTCTTTTCGAACTGTTCTGATCTGTGCAGTGCCTAGAGGACGAAGCCAAAAGGCCCCATAAACTGGAACACGTTCTTAAATTATGAATTAGACTGCCAGAGGGGAGAATTCTCTCTAAGTCAAACCAATAACACATATTTCTTTTCACATTGTTCATTTCTGTGACACTTGGCTTCACAGAGGATGATGATCTAGGTAAATTAAATCTTTTACATTTTACAAAGGAACTAAATTAATGCATTAGCTTAAGTACTTGGTTTCTCGAAACAATGCTCAACAAGCATGTTTCCAAAACATATTTTTGCATACTGCTCTTAAATATTTCTTTTACAAATATATCGATAGATATATTTACGTTTTCAATCTCAATGTACTTGTTACTGTTTAATTCAGTCTTTTTAAAATCCTTCTTTAAAATTCTTTAAAATGTATCATATTGATAAACGTAAATATAAAATGATGCATGCAGCAAAAAACATAAAACATTTTATTCCTTTTCAGTTGTCAGCTCTCAGGGTTCTTCAAGTGAATTTGTTTTTGCCATTGCACTTCACTTTCTGCAGTTGTTTTAATCATTTATTCCTTTGCAGCGTTTGCACATTATTTAGGAGAATAGAGCCTCTCTTCTTTACGCACATTCCTTAAGCTTGTATTCATTCCTACAAGGCATCATATTTTGATAGCAGTTATTAAAATACTTATTTTTGCCTCATAAGTGGAGATAGATAGAGTTATTGTCTGCTGCCCTGTTACTTCTATTGTTTTTATTTTATTATTGATATATTTATTCATTTTTTTGGTGTAGAACTCCAAGACGGTGAGTGAATCCCTCTGAATGGAATCATAATGCTCCTCACTTTGGCAATATACGTAGAGGTTGACTGAAATTAAGGTTTGATCACATGATGTGAACATTTTGGTGGTCAGTTTATATTCTTCTTTCTCCCTAAACGTACTATTAATCTCAGTAAACCTCTAATATATGAAGCTATTGGGATGTTTTAATTTCTTTTTTTCTGCAGTGAGAGCCCAACAATTGATCCGCTCTCACTTTGTGCTCTCACACTCTTTCAAGTCGTACAAAACAGCCCAATAACATTTGAGTGAGATGGTAACTGGCTGATCCGGCTTGAGTTGCATGTAGCCACAGAACTAGTGAAGCCCTACTGTAACAGATAACACGTATTTTAGAGCCATTGTATCGCAGTTGTATTCATATTTGGACAGAGAAGGTCTGGTTGTCTTGCAGCCGACTGAACTTCAAAAGCAGACCAGAATTGCTTGCATGCTGACATCGTGACATCATTGCATCATGACTGAAGCTCACGCAGCTCAGTGAGTGAGGCGAGCGTCAAAGCCAAGGAGCTGTTAAACTAGGTCATCACCAGCAGTTCCCATCGGATGCTCACCCAGCTGCTACCCAACTGAATTTACTGTTTATGTGTTTGTCTGCACAGGCAGTCGTTTTCCCAGCAGTCCTTTTTTTTAACGATCATCACTTGATTTAAAACATTTGGTGAGAAAGTCACCGGCAATGGAGGACGCTCATAAAGCCTGTCGGCCTCATGTATCACACAGTTAAATGTTGATTTGTGCGGTGTGTGAATGCTTACACAGAGAAAAGGACAAATGACAAATTATGGAACTAGAAATGAGAATATCTCTGCCAAGCCTGAGCAATCCTTTAACGATGTTATTTTAATATGTAATAGAAAATCTTTTTATTCTGTATTTGCATCAACTAAAACATCGTGGTAGACAAACATTACAACTTTATTGTCCACAGAGGTGGAAAATTTACTTTTGTTTAGTTTTATTACTTGAAAATAAAATACTATGTATAATTTAAGAAAAAAACATTAAGATACTGTACATATGCCTCAACTTATTAAATAAACAAAGAGAAAATTAGAATAATACCAAGAATTAAGAATTAAGAAATCCTTAAAAAATAATCTTGACTCTGCACCAAAAAACATTTTACAGAAATAAGTTTAAAATAGTTTTTTTTTAGAAATTCTCCAAACACACAAATAATTGAACAACAATGTCTTGTCTCCTATTATTTCAAATGAATATCCGCTAATAAATTCAAGAAGGGCTAACAAAAGGAAATTCAAACTAATCTGATTGCTGAATAACATAAAGAGCTGTGACGGTAATGACCATGACTTTTTGAATATACCAGCTTTGAAGACTTCTGACAGTGTAACAATAATCCTGCTCATGGAGTTTCAGTCACTTGAATACATTTGAGTTTGTATCATCAATAAAATTAAACCACAGTCAGAATGAACACCTAATCTTCTATATTGCCTTGTAGGGGAAAATTCAGTCACAAGCTTATAAAATGATTTCACTACAGGTTAATAGCAGACCACCTCAAGGTGTCACTCAGACAGAACCAGGACATTCTGATGTAGCATTTCAAAATTAAAGCCCTTCAAGATCTCATTCATGAGCTCACTTCAAATCACATTCATGAGACAATTTCTCTCATTTCAGATTAGATTTTAGAGGAAATGGTGTATAGTTACAAAATCTAAGCTCTACTCCTAACCCTCCCAAAAGGGCCCATGAGCCAATTTGGACTTGGGGTTAAGTTGGTTTTGACCCCTTCCGAAGGCCGCAGGGACTCGAAACTGGTACCACTCCAATTGCAATGGACACATTAGTGGGGGTAGAGTCCACTTCCAAGGCTCTACTCCTAACCCTAACCCTAGCCCTAACCCTCCCAAAAGAGCACATGAGCCAATTTGGACTTGGTGCATAGTGCATAGTTACAAAATGATTTCACTACAGGTTAATAGCAGACCACCTCAAGGTGTCACTCAGACAGAACCAGGACATTCTGATTTCAAAATTAAAGCCCTTCAAAATCTCATTCGTGAGCTAACTTCAAATCACATTCATGAGACAATTTCTCTCATTTCAGATTAGATTTTAGAGGAAATGGTGCATAGTTAGAAAATCATTTCACAACAGGTTAATAGATGTCGGTTTGGTCTATGAAGATCTCCTCTAAAATCCTAAAGGTGTCTTTTTAGTTGATACAAAGGGTTAAGATATTACATTATCAGTCGTTACATCACACTCTGCTCCCTTTTTCATAAATTATGAAAGAGGGAGTTTGGGATTTAGGTGACAGAGACTGGCGGGTGAAGCCAACAAGAGCATCATTTTACTCCTTTAGATGTAAATTCATGATCAAGTAAAATTGTGATCCTTTCCTTTTGTAAAAAATTGCTCTCAATGTACATGTGTGGATTATACTAAATTGTACAAGGGTTCAAGGGCAATTATTTAGCAGAAAGAAAGATTTAAGTAGATGTTGCCTTCCTACCAAGTGCTGATTTTTTGAAGACTTGTTTGTACTCTGACAAAAGACGCTTTCCACACCAAACAAAGGAAAAAAATTCAAGAGCATCTCCAGCTCCAGGAGCTGCCAAACACACCTACCTGTTTCTCTGTTTCACCAAAACATATTGAATGCATGATGCAGCTCTTTGAAATAACACTAAGTTGACATGTTAATGTTTTAACACAAAGCAACTAAAAAAAACCCTGCTTACTCTGCTTCTAGCTTTCATTACACTGAACTGATAGGGTGTGTTTGAACTTCACTGTCTCATTTTCTCATCATGTTTGTTTGAGGGGAAACAATACAAACAGAGAACAACAGATCACAAACGTGAAAAAGCTCAGTTTGTTTTTCTGCTTGACGAGACACGACGTCAGTTGCACGGTATTGCAGACCAACTCTAATTGAAGCCTGACTCATGAATGCAGAAATGAGTACTCTTGCCATGGTAACAAGGTTTCTTTCAAGCCATTTTCTGAGGCTTCCAGTTCTTTTAGTGCAGTCTCCCACTGAGGCAAAGAGCCGTGTAGCTCACTGCCTGTATTCAGAGAATAATAACAAGAATGTGTCTGTGAGCACCCTATCACTCCTTTGTAATACGTTACATCACGCCAGACACACCTGACATTTAGAGACTATTCTGACAGCATAACACGCTACCGCTTGCAGCAATGAAGCACCTCCTGTAAGGCTCTCCCTTTTAAAGAACTGTCCTGGAGATGAGTCCTTACCGTTTCTTAATGTGTGGGCAGGTTACGAAAGTCTGGAGGACAACTACGTTCAGGACAGCAAGATGGGCTTCGTCATCAATGCCATCTACGCCATGGCCCACGGGCTGCATGACATGCATACTGTTCTCTGCCCTGGTCACGTGGGGCTCTGTGAGAACATGAAGCCCGTTGATGGCAGCCACTTGCTGGACTTTCTCCTCAAGACGTCCTTCACGGGTGTTTCTGGAAAGGACATATGGTTTGACGAGAACGGCGACTCACCTGGGAGGTAAAACGCACTTCCTTTACATACCTTAGTTGAGAAAGACGTAGCGATTGTTTACCTGAGTAAAAGTAGGAATACCCCACTAAGTAGTAAGTAAAAGTCATGCATTTAAAGGAACAGTGTGTAGTATTTAGGGTGATCGATTGGCAGAAATGGAATATTATATTAAGTATGTTTTCTTTAGTGTTTAATCACCTGAAAGTAAGAATCGTGTTCGTTACCTTAGACTGAGCCATTTATATCTACAAACGGAGCGGGTCCTCTTCATGGAGTCGGCCACCATGTTTCTACAGTAGCCCAGAATGGACAAATCAAACACTGGCTCTACATAGGGCCATTCCCATTTTTTGAGTTTTCGTGTTGGCCACCGTAGTTCTCCTTGAAATCTGCAACTTCACAGCTAGATGCCGCCTAACCCTACACACTGGTCCTTTAAACTTTAAAGGGCCAGTGCACCTTTACTTTTTGTACTTTAAACTTTAAATCATAAAAAGTCAAAGTGCTTCTTTTGCAGAATAGCCCATTTCAGAATGGTGTAAATTATATGAAAGTTGTGTTTCATTTCAATAATCACATCGTTCAGAATCAAATGAAAAATCTGAAATAAAAAATAAATATTTTAGAAGCCGATAATAAGTGTGATTGGAGTTGCTGTGTTTATAGTTTTTTCTACTTGGCTGACATGAAGTGTAATAAACATCATATTGTGCGCTCTAAATTAAGTGTTTCATTAATTAAGTACATTCTGTGTCTTAATTCTTCAGTGTAAATTTAGTTTGAGTTTTCTTGTTGCAGGAAACAGATTCATTCGTTGGCAAATTGGAACACTAAAACTGATATTTTCTTTTCTAAAATGACTCACAATAAATAAGCCAATTATGAATATCCAGCACCCCAAATAATATTATTCAGCATCCCAAACAACCTTTCAAGGGCAGACGATGTTGAAATTACTCCTGTCAGTACAAATATGATGTGCACAAAGTTGATAGAACAATTTTCATTCAATCATTTCGTGATCGTCAAGTTGCTCTCAGCTAGTCATATTAGGGAACATTGACATATGCATAGTAATGTCCATATTGTAATGAGAAAAGCAATTGTCTGGCCTCCTCACTGATACATACACTGAAACCTCTCACTAATAATCCTGCTTGTTTTGAACACAGTCGCTATAGTTTCCAGCTACTTTTATCCGTGAGTAACTGAAATTGCACCGTCAAGTGAGTCTGGGAGTGTTTTGATATTCCAGTGGGGAGGTTTTACTGCAATCCAGAGAGGAAGATATGAAAGACATATCAGCACCTGGCGAACTAATCCCTGAGTCACAAGTATTGATCAAGAGCCTGACTAGCCCCCTGTTGATAAAATGTGCTATTTTTATGCTAAGTGGCAGTAAAACTGTTATTTCCCTTTTAAGAATCGATTCAGCGTCGGTGAAACCTTGTTAACTCGTGTCTTCCTCTAACTCATGGCTTTCTGTCCACCATCAGGTACGAGATTATGAACTTCCAGCATGTGGAGCCGGGTGTTTATGACTACATCAACATCGGCTCCTGGCATGAGGGCGCACTCAGTCTGGATGATGAATTGATGCAGATGAACCGCAGTGACATGGTCCGCTCAGTCTGCAGTGAGCCCTGCTCCAAAGGAGAGATCAAGGTGAGGGGCAAATCCTTTAAATACCCTCCTGCTGAGGACAAATTGTCACTGTTACCATGTCACCTCTGTGTTGTAGCTTTGTAGTTCAGTCTCTGCATTGGAGTCACTGATCTTCAAATATTAGGACTACAATTCTCTTTTTTCAACTAATGGATGTATTGATAGGTAATACATAATTTACTCATTTAATGCTTTATAGATCAGTATTAAGTCATTAATAAGATCAAATGCTGGGTTGCCAGGTTGTGAACAAACACATTGGCTGATAAATGTTATAAATGTTCCATTCATTACTAATAATTGAACACATTCACTGGTCACTAATAAAGGGTTCTAATCATTAAGTCTACAGCTGTAAGTATTAATGAGATGTTAATTAATGTTTTTTTGTCCGGATCATTTGCAGCCCTTTCCTAGAAATAGAAATGGTCAAATGATCTAACTGCTCAAAGGGAGTTTTCACAACCTGGCACCTCAACAGCTATTATAAATGCTTCTGATCTATCTTTAGTCTTGTGTTAAAAACAATTATTAAAATATTACAGTCAGTGGGACTCCCTACACTGAAACAAACTAAGGGTATGGGTAGTTGTAGGAAAGTATTTTAAAAGGTTTCTACCTTCTTTGTCGACCAGGTGATCAGGAAGGGAGAAGTGAGCTGCTGCTGGATCTGCACCGGCTGTAAGGACAACGAGGTCGTCCAGGACGAGTTCACATGCAAGGCCTGTGAGCTGGGCTGGTGGCCAGACGAAGAACTGGAAGGTAGGCTTGTACTCCTCACTCTCCATTTACCTACCGCTGTAAACTCTCACTGCTTGTAACTGTAGCTGGTTTTCTTTTAGAGAGTTTGACATTTTGGAAAATATGCATATGTATTTTTTTCCCCAAGAGTAAGATGAGAAGGTTGATACCACCTTCCTGTCAGTTTGTTAAATATAAGGCGACAGCAAGAAGCCAGTTAGCATAGCTTAGCATAAAGAAATGAAGAAAAGACAAGACAATTAGCCCCATCCGATTAGAACAGACAATGTTACTGTTCTGCAGTTTTTTACATGTACTGTATATTTAGATGCATTTAGGTTATTTCAGTGGCCACAGGCTGAGTTCCTGTTGCATGATGGATGCTTTTAGAGACAAAAACATTCTTATTCTTATGATTCTTATTAGAGGCTCTGTAGAAAGTTAAGTTCCTCCAAGCTTTTACTCCCCCCGCTAAGTAACAGTTTGTCCCGCTAAGATTCTTTGCGGCACTATTTCATAAACCTGTTCTGTCCTATTTTTATTGCTTTCCCATGACACCTGAGAGCCATTCATCATCTTCACCATTTCATCCGACAGCAGCCCTACTTCACTTACCACTCTTCTTCTGGCCCACTTTCAAAGGCCTTCTTGTGCTGTTCAAAGACAAGACACTTTCTTAATAGGTTCATCCTGCCTCCATGCTGTTTCATATATATATATATATATATTTTTACTATGACCTTTAGGTACACACATAAACAAGAAAATGTGGTGCACAGGGATGACATTAAAATGATTCTTGTGCAGTTTTCCAACCCCAACCCTCCTGCCGTCCTACAATAAATAAATAAACAAACATAAATTAGATATTGAAAGTGTGCCCTCAACATGAAGCAGAAAGGAGATCATATTTGGATCCATGAAAAATGCAGTGATTTACTTTGTCCTGCTGCATTGGCCACCTCCTGTGCTGGCTGCAGCCCAGCCCGGCCATGGCTGAGTAGAAAAGGGTTTATTTATAGTTGAGCTAAAAACCTACTTTGAGACTTAGTATATTTTCTCAGGCTAAAATGTATTTTATTAATTTTGAATGTGTCCCTACAATAGTGCCTAAAAAACTTTAAATTTCATTCTTGTCAAAATGAACTTATATTTAGGCATCTTTCTCTAGATAATCAGAAATCTAACCACCAAGCTGACGCTGAAACGTTGAAAGTTTTATGAGCTGCTTTTAGTGTGTTTTGGCTTGTTTATATCGTCATGTTTTTATCCTTTTCAGGCTGTGAGCCAATTCCCGTGCGCTGCCTGGAGTGGAGCAATCCAGAGTCTATTATCCAGGTGGTTTTCTCCTGCATGGGCATCCTGGTCACGTCATTTGTTGCCTTCATCTTTGTCTTATACCGTGACACGCCTGTGGTCAAATCCTCCAGCCGGGAGCTCTGCTACATCATCCTCGCAGGGATCTTCCTGGGCTACATGTGTCCTTTCACCCTCATCGCCCGTCCCACCGTGGCCTCCTGCTACCTCCAGAGGCTGCTTGTCGGACTCTCAGCCGCCATGTGCTACTCCGCCCTGGTAACCAAAACCAACCGCATCGCCCGTATCCTGGCAGGCAGCAAGAAGAAGATTTGCACCCGGAAACCGAGGTTTATGAGTGCTTGGGCTCAATTGGTCATTGCCTCCATTCTGATCGGTGCCCAGCTCTCTTTGGAGGTCACCCTCATCATCATGGAGCCTCCTGAACCCATCAAATCCTACCCCAGCATCAAAGAGGTCTTCCTCATCTGCAACACCAGCAACGTGGGTGTTGTGGCTCCTCTGGGCTACAACGGCTTGCTGATCATGAGCTGCACTTATTATGCCTTCAAGACCCGCAACGTCCCTGCAAATTTCAACGAGGCCAAATACATCGCCTTCACCATGTACACCACATGTATAATATGGCTGGCGTTCGTGCCAATCTACTTTGGCAGCAACTACAAGATCATCACCACATCTTTCTCTGTAAGCCTCAGTGTGACTGTAGCTTTGGGCTGTATGTTCACCCCAAAGATCTACATCATCATTGCCAAACCTGAGCGGAACGTGCGCAGCGCGTTCACCACCTCTGACGCTGTGCGCATGCACGTCGGCGACGGCAAAATTGCCTGCCGAAGCAGCAGCCTGCTCAACATGTTCAGGAGGAAGAAGAACACTGGAAACGGCAGGTAAGATTCATTAATTGAGTCTGAGTCCTGCTCCTGAGGCACCTCAGGGATGCTGGTTTTACTGTAATTCCCTCTCGAAGGGAACCTGATGTCTTACTGTATTTACTTTCATAGGGACACCTGTTGTAAAGTGTGACGGATATAGGTCAGTGCTCAATTCACACAGCCATTTTAACCTTTGAACTGATGGTAAAATTAAAACAAGCATCTCTGTGTGCTAAGGGATGACAAGTGGGATCACTAATATATATTACAGGGTTTCTGCAGCATTCACCAAATTAAATGTAGGACTTTTTTTTTGACCTTTTTGATATCACACAGAATTAAATTTAAATCCCTGTTTTTACACCCATGACAGCCAAAGCATGAAAGAAAACAATATAGCATAGAATTATGTATATACACTTTCCAGCAATACATAGAAATATTTTCAAATTCCATAAATAATTAAATAATGCAACCTGGTCCCACATGAGCGGGATAGAATGGATGGATGAATTAGATGAAATATTATTAATTCATTTAATTAACACTTCCAAAACCTGCAGATACCCTGGAATATTGCGCACAACATGATTCATATTTTTAATAATTTAAACGACAAGATAATTCATTCTGACATGAACCGAAATTGCTTTTTGTGTCTCCACCTTTGTGGGTTCCGGTGAAGTAACAGCCATCTTTATTTTGTTCATAGTTCTAATGGAAAGTCTGTGTCATGGTCTGAACCAGGTGCAAGACATCCTCCAAAAGGGGATCACACGTGGCACAGACTGTCAGTGCATGTGAAGAGACAGGAAGCAGGTTCCAATCAGATGGCTGTCATCAAACCCTTAACTAATTCGTACCAAAACAGAGCCCTGGACTTCTCCGACCTCAGCACTAAGACCCTGTACAATGTGGCCGAGGAGGACGAGAGTGACCTTATCAGATACAACCCCCCCATCACTCCCCCCATGATGCCCCACGGGCAGATTCCTGCCTGTGGACTGATGAAAGCCGTGGAGGAGGTGGAGCTCTATACACCTCTGCATCTGCAGTCAAATTGCATCATCCCCCGATGCGTCATCATGGACCACCTGCAGGAGGAGGTGCTGGTTGGTAAATTCAACATTGATATACCTGAGCTTGATGATATGATTAGCATGCCTGAGGCCGTGAGCGGCGGCATGCCTGTGTACCACCAGGCCCACCTCATCCAGCAGGACCCGGTCCTGCCTCTGTACCTGGACCCGTACGACGAAGAGCCCACTTCCCCTTTAGAGGAGGATGAGATGGACCGTGAACAGTTTGGCCTTCTCCACGGCTACATGTACAACAACGCCCAGATTCACAACGAGGAGGACTTGGTTGAGGTCAAATTAGCATTGGAGGGTTCTCTGGCACTGATGCCTCCGTCCCCTTTCCGAGATTGCGCTGCTCCTCCAGCGAGCGCCTTTCCCAATTCGCCGGTTTCCGAGTCGATTTTGTGCAGCCCAACAAATGTGACATATGCCTCTGTCATCCTCAGAGACTACAAGCAAAGCTCCTCAACTCTGTGAGGGTGCACACTTAGTATTACCAGTTGTACTATATTGTCAAGTTTCTAATGATATGTGCTGAATATGATGATATAGAGAGAAAAGTCATTCTGTGGTCTGACAAGTCATTTTTCACTCTATAATTAATAGCTGTTACATGATAAGGGTGAACAACAAGACGCCACATTTTAAAATGATTTTTGATGTTGTCTACAATAGCTATACAAAATAATTAGCTTATTACAAACATATATTTATGGGCGAACATAAGCTTATAGGATAATATAGATTTTGTGATTATGAGAAAAACAACCAAGACTCTATGTATGCACTCACTTTGAATATAAATAGATTTATTTGAGAAATGTAGGTGACATAACAAGCAGGTGAATATATGTTGTATGTAATGCAAAACAATCTTAATTGTCAACAAAAGAAACTGGAATATGTTTTGTGTAACACATTGAGTGTTTTGTGCTTCATCAGGAATGAAAATGGAGAGGTTTAAAGGAATAGTTTGACATTTAGTAAAATGCACTTACTTGCTTTGTTGAAGAGAGATCAATTCCACTAAATCCGATAAAGCTACAGCTAGCAGCCATTAGCTGAGTTTAGCAGAAAGACTGAAAATGGGGAAACGGCTCGCTTAGCTCTGTCCTAATAGTTTTTACACTTTTCGTACGGATTCCAGAAATATGATATTAATTAATGAGCTTTGTGCTTGTAGGTAGATTTTGTGACCTTTAAACAGAGCGAGGTTCACTTTTTCCCTTGTTTCCAGTCTTCATGCTAAGCTATGCTAACTGCTTGTGGAAGCTTCATATCAACTGTACAGATGTGTGACCGGTATAAATCCTCTTTTCTCACTTTTGTGGCAAGAAAGCAGCTAAGTGTATTTCCCAAAATATTAAACTTTTGTTTTGAGGTAGGACAGCAGAACAAAAATGTTGAGGTATAAAAGTCGACATGTTAACGTGATTTCTTGGTGGAAAAAAAGCAATTATCTGTGGATTTTTGATTGATACAGAACTGCCAGGAGAGTGCACTGACTGTCACGAATGTAGCAGAGGACAAGTTCAAGTGCCACATTTTCAGTACGAATTTTTCTTTCTTTTGTACATTTATCTCATTTATATGGTCTTCAAATGCAAGTTAACTAGTTTCAAATTTATATCTTTTATAATTAGACATCTGACTTCATAATTGTATAGATTTATGCAATAGATAAATGACCTAACATTATCATATGTTTTGTGAATGTATGAATTGTGGATCATATTTTGATATTCAGGTGATATCTATATCAATGTCAATATTAGAAATACTTTATTAGCTGTGTGTGATTCTCTTGTGTGATTGGTTGTGTACACCAATCAATTCCCTAAATATTAAGAACCTATTAAATCTGTATAATGTGGTGAAGTGCTACTGTAACCATTAGTAATATTCTGAATAAGCTTTCTGCAGCCTGACAGTATCAATTAAGTCTGCCCTTTTAAACAAATATTGTAGAGCATTTAAAAGGACACTTGTTTGATTGGGGTGAATTAAATATTTTTTATGCTTTTGTCTCCTGTTTTTCATGGTGAAACATCAGCTGGGCTTATGTGGGCTTGGCCTTGCCTACTGCAATAACTTTTTTGATCAAAGGTCAAAGATATATGGCTTTGGTTTGAAGAAGGAATTTCAATAAGTAATCGTATGAGGAACAGGTTGAGACATCGGCACTAAATGCAGATTGTTTAAAGCCTTTGCAGTCTATGGGCTAATGTTTGTGAAGTTGAATGTGAAGCAGACCAAGTTTTACGATGGTTTAGGAAACAGAATACTTTGGCTGTCTCCATGCAGGTCGAGCACAACATGGCAGGATGTTCAGCAGCATTTTGTACGGACAAGCTGTTTAAAGTTTTAGTCATTGGGGATGTAGGCGTTGGGAAGAGCAGCGTTATCTTGCGTTATGTTAACAAACGCTTTCATGAAACATACAAAGCATCTATTGGAGTTGACTTTGCTCTGAAGACTATTGAATGGGATGCCAAGACTGTGGTGAGAGTGCAGTTTTGGGATATTGGAGGTGAGTGTGTCAATATTCTAAAGTATGTTACAGATGTTTGACCTGTAAAGCTAAAATGTAGCATAATAATAGACCTGATGACAATGACCGAACCCTAGAAATGTGCAATTTCTGTGAAAACAATTTTTAAATCTGCAGTAACTAAAGCTAAAAACAAAGATACCTGCACTCGGGCTAATGCTAACTAGCTAATGAGGGCAGAAGCAACTGCCGTCACAGCTTTTGACTGTTGGAATACATGAGAGTTGGTGGTTACTTAAAATCCCATATTTAAAACTACTAATTTGTGAATTAATGTTTTGTATTAATTTCAATAATAGTGGTTGTAGAGTGACAGCTGAGAGAGATATTTAATCCTTAAAATCTAATGTAAATTACAACAAAATAAATCTTCACCGTTTAGGATCTTGTTTAAAAAAACTATTCAGAATAGATAAATCATATGAACACATTTTGTTGGTAAATAATACCCAATAAAGACATTAAATACATAAACAACAACTGCCAGCCCGCCTATATTATTGTCTAAATGACCTTCACAAGTCCAGTATAGTTCCAGTCTGCAGAATTACGGTTTTTACGCAATGTTTCCTCAAATCTAAAATGATTGTCGTTCGTCACTTACTTTTTAATTGTAAGGTTTAGGCTACAGTCCAATTGTATATGATAATTAAAATCACACATGATAAATAAGCAGTAGGATTACCCACTGTGTACCTGGGCCAACTAAAAATAACAAAAACATCAAGCCTTTTGCCAAATAAGTCTATCTGTGAAAGATGAATTCATCTTTGCTCTTGGAGTCAGAATTGAGCACAAGCTGTGGTGAAGCATAAATCACACTGATTTATTTCCTCTTCCCTCAAGGCCAGGAGAGGTTTAGGAAGATGTCCAGAGTGTACTACAAAGGGGCAATGGGAGCAGTAGTGGTCTTTGACATTACAAACAGCTCCACCTTGGAGGCCGCCTCAGAGTGGAAGCGGGACCTGGATAGCAAAGTCTGTCTCGACAGCGGACGTCCAGTCCCTGCCGTCCTGCTGGCCAACAAATGTGACATGACAGGGAGGGACAGAGACTTGGTGTCCTCTCTGGAGAGCTTCTGTAAAGACAACTGCTTCATGGGCTGGTTTGAGAGCTCTGCAAAGGTGTGTGCTGTATTTCAGTTATTATGGGAGAAGATAATGCGCCTAAAATGGCAGTAAGGGACACGAGCCATTTCTCAAAGCCATTATTGGCATTCGAGTAAAGCTACTTTGCCTCACAATTACAATTGCATGAAGTTACAGTACACTGTATGTGTGAAATTAACTTTAACACTGCAGCTATATAGCCTGCTCATAAAACATGTTCAAATATTAACACGCAGGAACAACTTGCAGCCATGGTTCGAACAGCGAGCCAAACACTTAACTCAACGGATGCATACACAATGTTCTAAATCATATTCCCCCTCACCATTTACAGGACAATATAAATATTGATGAGGCAGGTGCCTTCCTTGTCAAACAAATGATGCTCTGCGACACCGGCCTGTTCAGTGAAGAGCACCGCTGGGACGGGATCAAAGTGAGCCAGGATCCCGGAGACAGTCAGAGCCAGTCATTGTGCTGCTGGAGACCACGGCTCTGAGGCAGCGAGCCAAACAACGGCAGCTACTGGATTAAACGCTCTAACAGGACCTGTTTTTGATACCAAGTCATGAATCCACATAGAAGCTACTTCTGCCTGTGTTCATATAGTCGGTAACTTTAAATGCATATCTGTGCCCTGCCAGGTTTCTCAATAATGTGTGCAGTGTGTGGGCTGCCTCATAAACACCTCTGTGGAGACAATTGAGCTCATTTCTCTGATAATCCACTGATACAGTCAGGCTAATAAAGAGATCAGCATGACACACAATCCTGCTGGGAGAAGTCTGTGACACTCATCGAGCAACCCAGACTTGGTGATGATTGACCTACTTTAATGAGTGGCCAGAAACTGTGAAATGGTCACAACTGCCATTTTCCCAAACGACAAACACAACAAGAGAGGGAGAGAAAATGTCTTAAAACATGTTTGAAGCTGTTTGAAGCTGTTACACATTCCTCCTTAATAAATGTCAACCTATTCAATCTCAGCTCCGAGTGTTACTTGTCTGTTATGCAACCCATGCGTGTAATTATCTGTTAATCACTTCACAGTGAGATGAGCTAAGACCCATGCATCAGCATCGCAGCTTGATATGGCCAGTAGCGAAGAGCCATCAGCATGACCTGATTTTGGTGAAGGGAGGAAATATGCTACGTACCGCCCAGAGAGCTGGAGGGAGCAGAGCACTTATGCTCAATCGTAGCTCGACAACAAATTGTTATTTGTTTTTTCTATAATAGGAAGCCAAGCATGACATGACCACATTTTCAGATTGATGTTTTTGTAAGTTAAAGATTTGTTGAGGCAGAGAGAAACAGCAAACATAAGACATTCTCAGATGGAGCATCAGGCACTTACAGCAATGACTCCTGGTGATGATTTTATATAAAATGATTTTATAGTATATTTCGAAATACCGAGGTGGAAAAACTGAGCTCCTTAATCATGCTCCTCCCAAATTTAAATATTTGCATTTCAAGAGGGTTGTCTGAACAATAGTTTTAAAACCATATCAGTGGGCAGTAGCATAAATTATCTGTCAAGCAGTAATTAGGTTGACTGTTACAATGAACAACAATGTGAAAATACAGAGGAGTATAAAATGATCACCCAAAATATGATAATGAATGCTGTCAGTGTTTGATTTAAGTGTTAAATGCAGAGTCACTGCTGTTCTCTCTAATCCTCTGTATTCACTGCCTGTCCCTTTCTCTGTGACTCCTCACTTCTCTCTCCTATCATCCTGTATTAACAATCATTTACTTATGTACACCTTCTTAATTTCATGTTGTATTTGAGTTTGCAAAATATAAAGATAAATGTGTCTTGAACAGTACAGAAATGTAAACTAAATGTGTGTTTTACAGTAATATATTCATACAACAATACTATATTATTACACTATAATCATGCTTGGTGTTTGTTGTTAAATTGAGCGGATACCTAGAACCTAGGTACCCAGAACATATACATTTCATATACATTCAGGCGTTTCATTTATTGTTTGTCTCGGTGAAGTACGTAAACACATGAAGACTAAATAAGGGTGAAAGTTAAAGCTGTTTAATGTTGCGCAACCACACAGAAGCTCTTGGTGATGTTTGTCTGGAGATGAATGGCATTGAACTACATAAGTAGTCCATTCAAAAAACTAGTATCTGAATCACGCTTTGCATGGATTCAGCTGCCTGTCAGGTTTCCTCAAGTTGTTTCATTTCATTTCGCAGTAACGACATCATCATCCACATCACGTCGCTGCCCAAACTCTCTCTCACACACACACACACACACACACACACACGGTCACATGACGACGAGCAGATGAGCAAATCAGTAATCTTGCAGTTGCACAATATATCTCTGTCCACATACATTTGGTAAGGCAGTGAACTATTCGCCACAGTACAGTGACTTGACCCTGAAGAGTGGAGTGGGCTCAGTTTTTTTTCCCACCAGTTCATTCGTCTTGTCTTTAATCCTGTTTCTCAGCAGAGGCTTTTGAAGTTGTTGTACTTCAATGAAGCAACATCCCTTCAATGTTTAAGTGGATCGATTGCAAAGGGAATTAATTCCCTCTTTGTGAGTCAGTGTTTACTAAATCTTCATTCTGAAACAAGTGGATGCTTTTAATGCAATTATTTCAGTTGATATATTATAAGTCAGTGATATGATTAAGGGCATTGTCTTGCAAAAGATATTTGGGGAGAGTGGGACCTTTGTGCTCACCGGGGTTATTTTTGCACACCAATCTGTTCTTTGCTGTCCTGTAGCTTTACTTTTCAGTGTCCTTGCTGTGCATCTAGGGATCTGTTCCACATCCTGCTGCTGGGTACCCAAACACAGTAGCTTTTGTCCAAATCCAGGCTGCCCAGGTATGTCATGTGCATGTTTTTATTTAACCTTGCAATAGTCTACGTTTAAAAAACCCGTAATGCTGTGTTACAGCAGCATTTATTTGCTGATCAAGTGTGTTACAGCATAAAAGCCAGGAAGGAAGTTTACCTTGTGTGGCAATTGTGCTCGAGGAGAAGTGAGTTAAGAAGTTAGACAAAACTGCTAATTATGGATTTATGTCCCAGATACCGGAGACCTAAATTCAGGAGTCAAACAGGGATGATGGCCCCAATACTTTTTCACATCGGACACAAAAGCTCGACCTCTTAACTTGTTGTTTATGAATATGACAGTCTGAATGGGAGTCACACTCACTGCATCAGATCCCATTACGTGTGCATTATTGATATTGCCCTATTTTATCTTGCCCTCCAGTGAGCATTTTCGCTGGCAGCTTCCTTCATATATTCATGATTGCATGACAATTTCACTTTAGTCAAACTTGTGAATAGGTTGATGAAGTGTATGTATCCCTGCTGTGCCTCCGTCAGCCTCTTATTGTGTCTTGACTGACCTATTTTATGATGGCCTATGTTAATTAAGATTCACTGTCAGTGGAAAGCAGACTGCTTTTTCAATGCACAGATATTCTGTATGTTAAACGGACCTCTTGCAGGGAAATGACAAATGATTAGTGTGTGCAAAATGCCAGAATGTGAATGAAACTATCCGTTGAAACCAGATCAAATCCTGTACCAATCACGGGCAGAAATCCATATGTTGCTGTCCATGGTGCTGAATGTTCAGTATAAGAAGAGCACTCCACCAAAGCAAATAAATAGTCAGATTACATGATGGTAGAATGTTAGTAGACTCCGCCATCTAGTGTACAAAACATGCATGTGCAAGACAAGTGTTAAAGTGCTTCAGAAAAGCTTTATGGTGCAACTGTTTGAAGACATTTACAACAGGAAATCCTCCAATATGTGTATTAGCAGTGGTGGAAGAAGAGGACACAGACCGCTTTCTACTTGTCGGTTTGTATCTGGCCCGAGAACAGTCCAATATCTGAACAAGATTTTAAAAATGTACCATGTGAAATTTACATCAAATTGTATATTACAAATTTCAGGATGTTAAATTCCTCCAATTCCCTGAAACAATATTAAGGATATGAGCTTGGTGTACTGGAAGCTGAGGCTTTGGAACTTAAAAGTAACTACAAGATGCATGTAAAAAAACCAGTTTAGATCAGTCAGTTTCATGACTATAAACACGTCCTTATACCGTTTAGGCCTACAGCAACATGTTAACTGATGCAGAATACAGTACAAATAATGCGATCGGTTTATAAAGAGGAAAGAGTTTTATAAATCCACCAAAACATTTTACAGAAAGAATTTAAGGATTTTGTTTGTTTATTTGTTTCTTAAAATCTTCAATCTATGTGGCGCAAAAACTCTCATGTGATTTAATGTAAATGACATGTTGTTTACTTCATTATAAAACACTTTTGGGAATAACCACGTTACATCTCTTCCATATGCCTGTTTCAGATGTTTCATTGAACGAGTGCTTCCTGACAATGTGTCATCTAAATTCAGTAAAAAAAAAAACATGGGTCTCTTAAACGACAGATCATGAAGGTGATCATTTAAACAGGTTTTCTGGTGTTCATCAAACCAGATTTTCTAGTTTTCTAATTCTCCGAGGAGGTAAACTAACCTGGTTCTTCCTCCTTGGGGAACAAGAGGAAGTAGCCTATATTCCATGCACACACAATAGATAGGATCGTTAATTGGCACCTTTACCGCTTACAAAAGGATATCAAATGTCCGTGGGAAAGATCTTCATTGAAGAGGATTATGCACATGAAGACGTAAATGCAATTTTAGTGCTTCCAAACAACAACTTAGCCATGTTTGTATAACCGCCCCTACATTATGATTTGATAGTGTTTACACGTTAAGGCTCAGAAAGCTGTCACAAGGTTCAGCTTCTCTTTCTTTCTCAGCCCAAAGGCATTCATGTTGTTTAGGACCCCTCAGCCAGCAGGGGGCCACAAAACACACTGAAAATGTGAATTTTAGCTTCCCTAATTCAAATGTTTATCAAATGGATTTTGCTACAGTATTCATAGTAACAACATGTTGTTGTTTGTAGTAAAAGATTTGAGGACATTTGGTTGCTAAAACAAAAAAAAGTATAATATGACATGGTTATATTACTACGAAAATGACACAATGTACATTATTAATTATATTTATTTATTAGTAGGCTACAGCCACAGTTTTGTTTTTTGTTAGCAATGAGATGTAGGCAGGATGAATTAGGCCTATACATCAAAATAAACAAATGCAACTGTAAAATAACTTGTTTTACCCCACACAACAGAATAAACATTATTTATTGTGCATGCATTGTAAAGGGTCAATATTGCATAACTTTGTAAATTTAATCTTATAATCTGTTAGGTGTATTTTGTAACATCGGCCTCTTGGGACTACAGATGGATAATAGCCTCTTGGCTTTAACTCTGGCGCATTTACAGCAATGCTTTTATTAATGTGCACTGTCCCTTATCAAATAAACCAATAACAAAAAAATAAAAACAGCGTTTCAAAACACAGACTACAACTTCTGGTTTAAAAAGGTTTCCTATCGAGGTCACAGAATGTGACAGGTCACAGAAAACAGTGTAACACCAGCTCCAGCATCCGGGTGACAGCAGAGCGCAGACTCAATCCCCGCTGCAGCTCACTGCGTTTCCGTAGCCGTAGTTTGTGAGCCCTGACCGGGGAAACAGCTCACGGAAACGATTGATCCCGATCGAATAACGCGGAAAAAAGCTGGCGACATAAATGGCGGATTGACACTGATGTCGGAAAGGACTCGCTGAATCAATGCTCGTGACTCGCGTGCTTTTGGGAGAGTGCGCTGGTAGCAACACCCTCCGTAACATGTGAGATGTATACAGAAAGATATTGACTGTGCGTAATATCGGCTAACTAGCTAGCAGCTCCTCATCCCCCCCACACACTTCTCTATCCAATTCATGGTAGCGAGCTTGATCTGTTTTCTCAACCGTCTCGCGTCGGTACCGGAGCAAAATGAAGAAGTTTAACATTAGAAAGGTGCTGGACGGCTTGACAGCGGCTTCTTCTTCTTCCTCCTCCGCAACTGCCCAGTCGGGTACTCTTAGGGAAAACGACGCTATCCAGGAGACTCTCCAGTCGGACCATTTCCAGCTTTGCAAGGTGGGTTTCTCTCTAACATATTAAAGTACAAGTGAAAACCCCGAGGGAGTCATTAACAAGGAATTCATCTTAACCATTGCCTGCCTTGCTCGGCCGTGTCCCACGGTTGCATGTACCCAGGATGTCTCTCAGCACCATGGCTGTTTGCATTGCACTGAATCGTCGCCTCAAGTCACTTTAAGTTAGCTATAGCTAACCTGATTAGCTCTCTGCAGTTTGTTAGTTAAAGAATACGTGCACATTTCTTTTAATATACACTCTCGTGCACTGGTGTACTCTCTGCAGTAATAACTGCTGTCCCCTCTGGCTGTGCAGAGATCCCCCCCCCCCCTCATAAGATGATTAAGAGATGGAGGACACAATCCACACTGTCCTGTGTACAATGCATTTAATTCAGCTCAGTCCGAGTGTGTCAAGTTAATTAAATGCATTCAATTTGAGTCTTTTTTGCACATTTCCTCTGTGTGTTCTCGGACAGTGGAGCTAAAAAGACAGTAACTTTGGCAGATACCTGTCTGTTCGCTCAGCTAAAGTCTGCACAGGGCTGCTAATTTGTCCTCAAATGCAAGACTTTAAAAAAAAATAGGAAACCTATGCTTTAAATCCCAGCCTCTCTGGTCAACACACACACAATTTGACATAAAACTGATCTACTAATCTAAGCCCGATAGGTCTGGTTGGAAAGGTTTGTACCTGCGTTAGATAAATGTGCCGAGCAGCTTGGAGCGCCGGCCCACCAGCTCCTGCCCCAGCTGGGAGCAGAACAGGTCAGGTCCCCGGGGTTAACCTGTTACATAACACTGCTGCAAGCCGCACAGAGCTTATGGATGTGACGGGCAAGGTTTTTCCAACCCCGAAACAATTGAGTTATAGATGCTTGATGATGATATCATCTTGGTGGCTGGGGGACTGCAAGATCCTGGCAATGAAGTGCACTCCGAGGCTGAAAATGTGAGCCGTGGGACGGATAAAATGAATTTATTACTGATGTTTTACTGGATTGAGCTTGCACACACGTCAAGCAGACATCAGGAAAAAAATATTCCAGTCCCCGTTTGCACTAATGTTTATGCTTTATCTAATTTATTTTGATAATGAGAGTCATTTTCCACATTGATGGATTACATTTCTAGGAGATTATGATGATGGTTTTTTTTTTCTTCTTTCTCCAGTGAAGCCAGCTTGACTGTGTAGCAGATGATTGATTAGCTGACTGGAGGTCTAATATAAATTCTGCTCTTTCCTGCAGACTGTGCGTCATGGCTTCCCATATCAACCATCCTCGATGGCTTTTGACCCCGTGCAGAAAATCTTGGCCGTCGGGACCCAGACCGGAGCTTTGAGGCTGTATCCTTTCTTTTTATTTTCCATCACGGGAAAATGAAAATGACAAGACAAGGAAAGTAAAGCTTGGATGATTTCAGCGATTTTTCAACATTCTCCACTCCCTCGTGTACACACACACACACACACACACACACACACACACACACACTCTCTCTCTCTCTCGTACAAACATAACACACACACACCAGAGCCATGTCTTAACTTCCTGTCATCCTTTCAGCAAATGTCATGCGATCAAGTCGCCTTTCAACATTCCACAAAGTCTGGGGAATTTAAACTGGAAGTGACCTGTCTTTGCCTCCTGTCATCCAACACAACAAAAATAAAAATCCGAGCAGCACAAAGAGGAGGAGCAGGGCCTTGGAGGTAGACATTAGCTCGGATGTGTTTCTGTGCAGCCAGCAGCCTCCTTCTCCTGGAGCACCCAGGCTCATTAGTGGCATCTCTGCAGTAGCATGAGCAGCTCCTCTGCCATATGCCGAGGAGCCAGCCTCATCAACTGTGCTGCCCAGTCTGTGCCAGAATGCCACTTCATATGTGCTGTAAACATCACTGGACTCACACACACACACACAATCAAGCTGCTACAGTGCCGTATGACCCCCTCGGGCAGTTGGGAGTCCGTTTTGTGTTTGTATTCAAGGATAAAAATGTTTTTTACAGCTAACCAAGCAACTTCCATGAGTCGCATCAACCAAAAATAACTCTCCTGGATTACAGACTAGTCAACACTGCATGTGAAAAGTCTGGTCATATCCATGTTACGCTGCTTACACCATGTCTTCAGGGTTGGCCTACTTGTGTGTAAACACAGGGTTTCCCTGCGCGCTGGTATCTTGCATGGGAGGCCCATCTGCTTTATTTTGGGTTTTCATTAGAAGTGGCTCCATCCTCGTCTTTATCCACTCTCCAGATTAAGAGAGCGTCGTGTTTACAGGGTAACTCCCGGAGAACACGCACTGCTTCCATGTTGTCCTAATGTGCAAGGTGGGATTACTGATGGGATTACAGTCATTCAGGCAATAGGTCCATTTATCAAAAGACAGGCTGTATTGATCCGCCTCATAGCCCCCGGCGTTTGGAAACGCTGCCACAGCTCAGCAGACATAAGCTCAATGAGGTGTCTACAAGCAATAAATGTCTGCTTTTACAAGATCTGTCTCTACTACAGTGTTTTAATCAGTGTGCTACTGTAGTCAGTCCCCTGCTCCCTCTAATATATGTGCTCTTATATTTTGTGTCTGTTGTCGGAGCCAAAGCAAAACAGCAATTAGTATTTATTTGACCTACATGGGGATTGGAGTCCAGTGGTGGCAGGAAATGTTTTGAAATGTTAGAACTGAAAAGGGGAAAGTTTAAGGTTGTGCAATATGGGTCACATTGCATTTGAGCTTATTAAGCTCTTGCAGCTGACGGGTCATGTGAAAAGTCAGAAGTTTGTTTTCCATTGCAGAAACACACCACTGGCCTGTAGCTTCCTCTTCCTTTGGCTTCAGCGAGACTTCAAGAATGGCTGCAGAAAGCAGCCGCTCTTCTTTTCATGATTAAGATAACTTCCTGTCGCGATGACTATGATATGACTATCAGTTGACTAAAGCTGCTGATGCTGAAATGCTGGGGTTACCCATGTTGGTTTACCACATGGGGGAAGTGTTGATGTTGAAAGAGGGGGGGGGGACTTCAGCGTGTGATGTCTTAAACTCACAGGTACAAGGTTGAGAGAGCAACATGTTCAATATCTATTTCTGAAATGTCAAAGTTGGATTTTCTCTAATGTAAAGAAGTAAATAGACAGTAAATAGTAATACAAATGGGTAATAAATAATGCATGTGACACATGGAATGTATTGCAGTTTGATTATTCTGCAGATTAATTTCTAGATTAATCGTTTGATATGAAATATTCAACAAAAAGAAGAAAAATGCCCAATCCAATTTCCACAAGTTGACGTTGACCAGTAGACATTGCTTGTCTCGTCCAACCAACAATCCAAAACCCAAAGATATGGAGTTAACTATCAGTTTCAGCTCTAAAGGAATCATTTATAAAATTGCAAATCAGTTGAATCATCACATGACCAAACGATGACAGGAATTATTATTTGAACATGTGTTGCTCACAGCGAGATATTTAGTGACACGCGGAGCCCCAGTTGACTAGTGTGACTCAGCTTCCTCTGCTCGCACAGTCCTAGAAGCACATGCTCTACTCCTGACATAAAGTCACGAGTAGTGTAGTGTAAAACCGCCTCAGTTGACAGATAGTTTGTATTTGTGGCCCACATGATCCTCGTAAAGGTTTTGATCATGAAGCGTAAAAGGAAGCACCAACAGAATGCTCCACTTGCCCACCACAGTGATAACATCTTAGTCATTTCCTGCTAGCCTAGAAAGTAGCGTGGCTCAGCAGCACCATTAACCTACATCCTACATCAGAATCAGGTCACACTGTAGACGCCTTTACATTCACATACACCGATGAGTTAACGCACACAGAAAAATGGACAAAAACAGCTCCTTTGCGTTCACAGTTATAAGGCTGTTGGAAGTGATTCTACTCGATGCCAGCAGTATGAATACACTACAGCGTTGCATATTGACATTTCTCCTCTTCAGACTGTTGCTCTGTTCTCATTTATGCATGACCACAGGCTATGAAACTGACTTAATGACTCTCCCCCTCCGTTGTGGACCCGTGGAGCCGTGATGTCCATTAATAATTCTGACAAATGTTGTACAGAACTTGCGGGGCCAGGAGCTAAAAGTGGACGGAAAGGTCACGGGTCAATGTGAGTTCAGTTGCCAACAGCCTCCGACTGGCGCCGGCTTACAGTCTGAAAGTCTGTGTCCGCCTCTGTCCTTCTGCAGAAAGTGATGCCCACTGTTGAGAGCATGTCCTGAAACAGCCTCCTTGCAACCCCGCCTTAGTTTGTTTAAGGCACTGAGGGATTGTTTGATCGCACTCGGTTAATCCTGTTCACACACATTACGCCGTGTCAGCTGGAAAGGGACTCAGATAGTGAGCACAACCGGGTCCGTCTTTGGAGCATCTCTCCGGCATGATCGCATTAGGAGTGCGAGAGACAGTGCACCCTTTTGTCTTCTTTTAGGCCATTTCGTGTGCGTCGAGAGATTCTCTCTGTGATTAGATCTCGCGCTGCTTCCTTCTTCTTTTGTGCTCGTGTGCATGACTGGTGCAGATACTGCGTGGCTGAGAAAGTGATTACAGGCTGGTGGAAATAGACAAGCTTCTCCTCATTGTGCTCCTCATTGCTGGGCTGTGTGGTGAAAGTATTCGGAGGGTTTTTTGCAGGATACATTACCGTCCTTGTGGCTACACTCTCCTTTTTGCCACGCATGCAATCATTGGGGTTTCCTCTTTTAGCTCACACACACAGTTCAAATTGAGTCCCGACATCTACTCTTGCCTGGATTGCTTCCCCAGCTGTTTTTGAACGGACAGATTTAGCAGGCAGGGATTCTCCGACATGAACGTAACAGTCCCATAGAGAGCGGTGGGAGTTAAGTTTATCATGCTGTCGTCATAATGGCTGACGCATGTGCATAAATAAGGCAGACGGGGCCCACGGACTTTTATTTATAACTCGCTATTTTGAGGTTTTTATACTAAAAACACCTCCAGTAGGCTGGAAATGATTTAGTAAATGATCTGTAAGTATTTATTCAAACACACATTGTTCAGTTTTACAGGTTTTTCAATCACTTTCCGGCATCAACTGTCATGTTTTCCTTGACTGAGCTGACTTTTAGCTTTGGCCGGGCGGGTGTGGAGTGCTACTGTCAGCATGAGAGCGGTGCGGCTGTCATCCAGCTCCAGTTCCTGGTCAACGAGGTCTGTTGTCATTCCCTGTTCCTTGTTTCCTTGTTTGCTTTTCTCTCCACCTTCTCCTCCTCACTCCTCCACTACAAGTCTGTCTGCTGTCACGTTTCTGTCTATCCTTGTTCTTAGTGGGCAGGCACCACAGACACTGGTGCTTATCCAATGTTTGCAGGCCATTAATGACCTGTAGTGTGAACTGTGCTTCCAATGAACACATTGATTAAACAGGAATATTAGCTTTGTGACCTGCATGCCTATATAATGCCGGCATAGTTGTGTGCTCGTGATACAACCACATAAAACAGGAAGCACTCAACCACAATGATGTTTTGTACCTTTGGGACAGATCATAAAAAGATATAGTTTTGCATATCATTCACATGCGGATGATATTCAACTCCGTCTTTCCTTCAAACCCAGTGAGGCTTTCAAGTTATCTCGGCTCCTAGACTGTCTCAATGCCATTAGGGACTGGATGGCAGACAAGTGTTTCCAGCTCAATGCTAATAAGACGGAGGTTCTGGTTAGAGTGTTGGTCCGCTCTCCTCTGCTGTCCACTTCAACCTGTGTAAATCCAGGGGTAATATTTGACCAATCCTTGTCGTTTGACCTTTCATGTTAAGCAGCTGTCAAGATCTTGTTTTATCCACCCAAGAAATATTAAATTAATGGAGAACTATAGTATCAACAGCTGAACTAGAGACGATCATACATGCATTTATCTCTTCTCGCATTGATCATTGTAACGCACTTTTCTCCTCACTCAGTGTATCTGCTCTTAACCGTTTGCAGCCAATCCAGAATCCTGCTGCCAGATTACTCACTAGGATGAATAAATAAAATATAAATATGCTTTTCTTACTTATTTACTTCTGACAACCCCCCCCCCCTTGTTTGTGACCCTGCACACAGGGGGCGCTGGTGAGTGCCTTAGCTGATGACAGCATCCACATGTGGAACCTGAGGCAAAAAATCCCTGCAATCCTGCATTCCCTCAAGTTCAGCAGGGAGAGGTACAGTAACTTCTCTCTGCTTCTCCGTTTGCAGTGACGCTGTCACTCACTCGCAAAGTGAGTTCACGAGGTCGAGTTCAAATTTTAGCGCCTTCTAGCCAATGAGAATGTAGAATACATTACTGGGAACTTTATCTATGCATGGGGAAAATGTTCTACTCGTCTATCCATCGACCATCATTTTCAGGCCATTTTCTTTCTACGGTTTATGATAAAAAAACTACCACATTTCATTTATGTAACATTTATCTACCCAAAATCAATGCTTGCAATAGGGACTTAAAGAAATAAGAAGAATACAGTCAAAATAAGAAACATGAACAAAAAAGGGTATATAAATGCCTGTATACAGACTAATAAACGGCAATATAAATGAATATAAAACTACTGTATGCGTCCAGCATCACACTGCACACAAAGTTAGCTTCTAGCTGCCGCTTTGTCAGGAGTTGGTTGAGACCCAAAGAGAGCTAAAATGACTTAAACTCATCAGGTGGCTCTAAATATGACCTAAATTGAATAATTACGTTGCTTGTCATTCGCCATAACAACATTGTAAGCTGATGTAATATGTGTGTTTTTTATTGCCACCATGTGGTTGACAAAATCAATCAATGTAGCTTCATTTGACTATTTAAGAACACATTTGTCATCCCTGTTTAGTAAAAAACAAATCCTGTGAAATACCTCCCGAGAGATCACATTATCAATACAAACAGTCAAACGCACTAATCAGTTAACGTCAGCCGGGTTCCTTTGACACTGTAAATGTGGTGCGTGACTGAATGTTTCTCTTCCTAGCGGTTGAGAAAAGACGGCAGTGTTTACTCTGCTATTCCTCCCCACCGATCTATATATAGTCCGGCTTCATTAGTGTGACACAGAGCAAGGCCTTTGTAATTAAATCTTAAGTCACTCGCTACTCCTTCCAGTTGCAGCAGCATGATTAGGGACTAGAGTCATGAGATAATCAAAAGCCTGGTTGTGACTGATCCTGATCTCCTTACAGAATCACATACTGCCACCTGCCCTTCCAGAGCAAATGGCTTTACATCGGCACAGAAAGAGGAAACATCCACATTGTCAACGTGGAGTCCTTCACTCTCTCAGGCTACGTCATCATGTGGAACAAAGCCATCGAACTGTGAGTCTGTATTGCACAACTGTCTTGTTTTTCCCTCCCTCGCTTTCTGCCCATTTGCATATCTTCTCGGTCCACTGATGTGAGTTTGACACTTGACCAGGAAACTCTGAAATGCAAAAGGAATGCTTGCAGATACAGTGTGTCCTGTTGGCGGAGAAAGCCGCAGCTCCGATCAGTGCGAGGGCGGAACGGAGACGTGGTGATTGTGCCATGCCAGAAGTTTGACTGGACTTCTGGAGGTGTTTGCTGCCCGATTTAACGAAACATCTGCGATAGGAAGTGCCCACTTGATAACCCCAGTGGCCTATACTGTGTCACCCACTCCCCCGTGTAAACACCCACTTTGAAGATCACAAGGAATTCTACATCACATCCTGTGCGTCGGTAAATGTTTCCTGCATGGTCCAGATGTAACTCGGCAGGAGGTAGAATTTGATTTCGGTGGATAAAACCTGCGTCACCCAACACACAGTAAGGCGTACTCATTTTAGTGCCCGATTCTGTGCACGAAATAGCACTGAAAATGAAAAGAAAGTTGCTCTTTCTAGGTAATTTTTGTAGCTCACCCACCAGTGGGCTAAGAAAATTAATTTGAGACAGTGACTGGCAGCTAAAATTGGAAGTAGAATATAAAGGTGTGTGCGTTAGGCTGCTCGTGAAATCTGATAAATTGGTGCTCTGACTCCTAAAACGGCAAAGTGTGCCATCAGCTCAGAGAAAAGTCTCAGAAACAGACGGCGGAGACGGGAAATGATTTTTGTCTGTGTGACTGTGAAAATGATTTTAGGAAAACATCTGTTGGCTGTAGTGTGAACGTCAAAACATAACATTTAATCATTTCCTTGTAGAAAAGTTGTCCGATCTCTGGTAGCCATGTCTTTTCAACGCACCATAGACAGCCTGTGTTCTTAATCACACATGTATTCTGCTCATCATATCTTAAAACGGTCCTTTACATCAACGGTGTGTCGTACGGTGATTACAGACCGGACTTCATATTCCAGTCCATCCCTTCCTTTTATTCACCGCCACATCTCTTGACTGTATCGACTCATCAGCAGCAGCAGCAGCAGCAATGAGATCATTAGCCGCTGGAGCCAGACCACATTCAGAGGCAGAGACACTTTCTTTAGGCCTCCACTCCCCCCTTGCTCTGTTGCCACGGTGATGCTGTCTCCACACACTATAATCTCTCAGAGACCCTCATGTGACCCTCTCTCTCTCCCTCGTATGTCACGTCTCTCCCTCTCTGGTGCACTGATGCACATTTTCATTGTATATTCTCGCTTATTTCAAAGATTCTGGCTTTTATTCTTTTGTTCCCTTTTGCATTTCTTCTCTAATTGCCTCTATACGTCTCTCCCTCTAAAAGCTATATTATGTCACTATCTATCTATCTATCTATCTATCTATCTATCTATCTATCTATCTATCTATCTATCTATCTATCTATCT